TGGACCTGTCAGGACTCTGCCGGCTGCTATGCTGGTCCCTCTTGGACACGCCCTTCTCACGCCTGACTCCCGTCGATCTCAAGGTCAGCTCCACGTGGCCCTGACAATGACACACACACACACACACACACACACACACACACACACACACACGCTCAGCCTCAGGGATGGCAGTCAGCTTGGCTCTACAAGCTGAGAGCTGCTTCCCTTTACTTTCGGAAACATGGCCTCCTGCATCAGCTCCTCATGGCCACTTTTAAAAATCACCGCTGACTTGGAGGCTCAGAGAATGGATGTATGTTTTCTTGCCGTTTTATAGATCAGAAATTGGACACAGAAGTCCCACAGCTTAAGTCAAAATGTCAGTAAGTTGCTGGCCTCTCTGGAGACCTGAGGGGAAGCCCTTAGCGTGTTAGAGAATTCAGTGCCTGAGGGTTTAACACTGTGGTCCCTCTTCCCTGATGGCTGCCAGTTGAGGTTTTACCAACTTTCTGGGCCCTTATGTTCACTGTGACTTACATCTCCTCTGTCCTCAAAGCTATTTCTTCGTTCTGGTCCATCGGTGTGCTCCATCTGGGAATGATGGACAATGATCCACCCTGGGCCCTTCAAGCTCCCCATGATCTCAAGTTCCACAGCCCTAATCACAAAGTACCCTTCCTCAGATTGGGGACATCCTTACAGATTCTGGGGATTGAAAGATAAAAGGTGCTGGTTATGGTGCTGGTTACCAGCGGAAAGGTCATGGTCACGACAGAACCCAGTATCAGTATTAAGAGCTTTATTAGGAGGAAAGCGGGAGAGGAGAGCCAGGCCTGGAGAGGAAAGAGAGAGAAAGATGGTGGGGTGGGAGGACAGGGAGCAGAGCAGAGAGAGAGGGTAGGGCCTGCGTCCGGCTTTTAAGGGCTCCCAGTAAGGAGCTACACCATGCATGGGCTGATTGCTTGACCATGGTAGTCACCAACGCATACTGATGACATAAGACGCAAGACCAAATCTTGCTTAACTCCTGGACTGCGAGTGTGCGGTCACGCAGCTGGAGTAAGGGCAGAATTCTATCAGGGATTGTAGTGGACATCTAAGGGACCATTATTCCGCCAACCGCCACAGCACCAAGAGCAGATTAAGGTGGAGGTTGTCCTGACTCCATTTCCCCACACGAGATGCGGCATGACTTGATGAGGACTTCTCTGTCTACCTCGTCTGACTTGAAGGTCAAACTTCCCAAGGTCAACAGCTTCCAAAGGTCCATCACTGAACTTGAGTCTAGGTGCAGTGAGATCCTCAGGGTGCCCTCAGATGTGGGTTTCTAGAGTACAGTGGACAGATGTTGGCCGAGCTGGTCCCTTTTGAAGTGCGCAAGAGTCTATGCCTGTCAATGATGGCCAGTGAGAATAGGGCCAGCTGTCCAAGAAAATTAAGAATAGGTATTTTAAGCCGAGCTTAGCTTTCAGGCACCGGGGATGACTTCACCTCTCTAAGCCCAGAGAAGGTTAAGTGAACATCTGAGGGCCCTTCTGGCATGTAACCTCATGTGCAATCTATGTCCAGGAAAATGTCTTTTTAAATCAGTCTCTTTCAAACCTGATCTTATCTTTACTCCTTCATCTCCACAGAGGCAGAAGGCCTTCTCCTGTTAACACTGGTGCCCACTCCCATCTCCTACCCCTTTCTTTGCAGCAGCTCCAACCCCCCACCCACTGTGTTCCCACCCTAAGTCTCGACTTCCTGCTTTCTTCTCCTGGGATACGCAGCCCCCGGCCCCTGCACCCATTGCCATCTTGAAGAACCTCCCTGGGTGGAGCTTTGTCAATTTCTCTAGGGTTCTTCAAACCAAAAATGAAATATACATGAAATTTTCAAAGAATGATTGGAAAGGATAAGGAATAAACACAGTAGAACTAATGAATCAGACATGCCAGATGCAAATGATAAACTCTAATCCTTGCACAAGAGCCTGCAACATGTGACTTCCAGCTCTGAGCCCCGGGGATGTAGGATACTGAGTGATAGCAAAACCTGGGAACAGCAGAGCCAAAGGCATGCAGGAGGACATGCGTCACTTTCCTGCTGGCCTTCTTTTGAAGAGGATCATGGCCATAATGATTTCCAAATATCTGTCCTTAAAAAGCGGTGTCCATTTCTGCCCTAGTTAACTTTAGCTGTCAATGTAATACAGCCTAGAGTCATCTGAGGGAAAAAAAAAAAGCCTCCATTGAGGAACTGTCTAGGTCAGATTGGCCTGTGGGAATGTGTAGAAGGGTCAGCCCACTGTGGGTGGTATCATTCCCCAAACAGGTAGTCCTAGGATGTACAAGAAGACTAGGTAAGAGTGAGTGAATGATTGAGCCAGTATGCAATGTTCTTTCACAGTCTCTGCCTTGAGTTTCTGTTTACGTTCCTGCCCCAACTCCCCTCAGTGACAGACTATGACCTGGAAGTATAAGCCAAATAAACCCTTCCCTTCCCTAAGGTCAGATTGTTTTATCTCAGCAAGGAAACGAGAACAACTTCCTAGCCATACTACCTGCCCATCTCCACTGATGAGAGATTCTGTGCTCACTGTGGTCAGTGCAGGAGCAGGCCACCACCATCTCCATTGTCAATAAGAGGGACTAGGATGGAGCACACCCCAAAAGTCAGATGTCTCTGCACCTGTAACCTCAAGAAGAATCAATACAGCCTCAATACAATCACCCTTTATTTCAGGAGGGGTAGACTACCAGCAGATTGGAATAAATTCTCCAGGGGCTACACCCACCACCAAGGGAAGGGGTTCAGAGGCAGAAGCAGCTGCCGCAGATATGAGGGGAGCTTGAGAAGTGCATATTGAGGAAGGCTGACACTCAGAGCCTCACAGAGACTTGCTCCCTTCCTTTTCAGTCAGACACGTTCTGGGTCCTGCTGGCTAACGGCTGATGCGGTGGGTCGAGGGCCATAGGGTCTGGGCTCTTTCTCTCTGTAAAGCCTCAGATCTCTCCATGGGGCTTGTGCCCCCCCCCCCCGGAAAGAACTGTAGCTGTTGCAATCCCATTTGCTCCCTGGAGACTCCACCGAGAGCCCACCACCTTCGGCGTGTGTCTCAAAGCTACCGGATGTCATTAGGCTGTGTTTTTGGTTCCCGAATGAAGCGGAAAATCCCAGGACTAGGGTTTCACACCAGCGCACACGTACACAGTCTGCAGTTCTCTGATATCCCGGCTCAGTGGTGGATGATCTGTCAGCTTCCGAGGCTGTATGCTAAGCATTTAGGATACAAACTCCAAATCCACTCGGGGCCTGGGGACCCACCCAATCACAGCCTAGTCCATTCGTCGTGGGTGTGGAAAGTGAAAGGAGGTACTTGGGTTGGGACTCAGTACTCCACTACACAGGGGCGTCACCCAGGTGGGTCCTAAGAGGGCCATGTCATTGCTGGGTCTGAGGGAGCCTGACAGCTCTGTAGAAACAGGCAAGCACTGGGTATGTAAGGTAATTAGATAGGCTCTGATTAATGGGGGTTGACTGAAAGTGAGAAGCAGGTGCCTAGGCTCTGTCCCTTCTTCATGTCCAGGGTCCTGAAGGTGGGGGGCTCTGGTGGTTTGAACAGGTATGGCCCCCATAGACTCTTGTATTTGAATGCTTGGCCCATAGAGCATAGCACTACTAGGAGATGCAGCTTTGTTGGAGTAGGTGTGGCCTCATTAGAGGAAGTGTGTCACTGGAGGCGGGCTTTGAGGTCTCCTGTGCTCAAGCTACACCCATTGTGGTACACAGTCTCCTTCTACTGCCTGCGGATCGAGATACAGAGCTCTCAGCTCCTTCTCCAGCACCGTGCCGCCATGTCCCACCTTGATGACAGTGGACTAAACCTCTGAACTGTAAGCCAGCCCCAGTGAAATGTTTTCCTTTATAAGAGTTGCTGTAAGCCGGGCGGTGGTGGCGCATGCCTTTAATCCCAGCACTCAGGAGGCAGAGCCAGGCAGATCTCTGTGAGTTCGAGGCCAGCCTGGGCTACAGAGTGAGTTCCAGGAAAAGGCGCAAAGCTACACAGAGAAACCCTGTCTCGAAAAACAAAACAAAACAAAACAAAATAAAAAGAGTTGCTGTGGTGATGGTGTCTCTTCACAGCAACAGAAACCCTAACTAAGACAGAGACTTTCCAGTCAACAGAACAGAGTTTAGTTCTGTGAAGGGCATCTTTTTTTTTTCTAGAAAAATCTTTATACTGGGTCTCTGGGACCCTGTGACGCTGGTGGGCATCTCTGATCCAAAGAGGGGCCTGTGGCCCATGCCTTTGGCTCTGATTGGTGCAGGGATGGTCACCTGCTCCAGCCAGTCCAATCCCAGTAAATATGATTTGCCCTAGGGTTGGTGGAAAAGGCTCTCACACTTTCCACATGCTGTGCTCTGGCTCTAGAGAATAGCTCACTGCCAATAAGAGTGAGCTTCAGACCTGCCCCAAATCTGACAGGAGCTGGGTCTGGGAGGAAGCAAGGGTGACCAGCGCCATCCTGGCACAGTGGCCACCTTCTGGAGCCTGAAGCCAAAGCCTGAGAAGCTACAGCAACAGCTGAGATGGAAGAACTGGGCTCGGTTCTGATGATGTCATGAAGCCCGCCTACTCCCTCACCCCCTACCCCCACCCCCCCCGCCACCCCCCAGCCTGCTCTGTAGAGATTTGATTCGGAGAGCCAGCCCCGCCCCTCCCCTTTCATCTCCTGAACACACCTGAGGTGGTAGCCTTTGTTCCTGTGAGACACACGGGGTAAGACAGGAAGAAACAGGCACCCCAGATAAGTATCGACACGATGACATGTACAAGGGACTCAAGATGGCGCGACACATTCTGGTAACAAGGAAGCTTAGACCCAAATGATGTGGACAACACACAGAAGCGGCTCACACCTCAACATGACACACGTGGGAAGCCCACCTGTCGCCCAGGTGAGCATGCCCAGACTCCACATAGCCTGTAGTTAGTGGGCATGCCCACATAATACACCAGGGTTGCCTTATCTCCCGGTGTCAATGGTGCAGTAAAGCCTCTATTTCCGAGATTAAAAAGTATGCTTATGCAGACAGTCCTGGCTGACATCTACATAAATCTTCTCGGTTGCGTTCTGCTGCTCAGGCTTCCCTCAGCACCCCCGCTCTTCCTGGAAGTGCACCACAACCAGGATGTGGAGCTGCTGCGTCCAGATGTGAGAGAGCACAGGTCCCAGGAAGCCTCTGGAAGCTTCAGCTTGGCTGGCACTGCGTGAGAAAACACCTGCTTCCTGCATTATTAAAGGACCCTCAGGATGCCGCTGGTGAACCGCGGGAGCGATGCTGCTCCTGGCTGTCCAGGTAAAGTGATACAGCTGCGTTATCTCCCAGCACTCACCACACTTACGCTGGGGAGACTGTGGACCACGGATAGTCCGGGTCCCTGCGAGGAGTGCAGGGATGGAGGCTGCTGCGTACCAGGCACTCCAGTGTGAAACTGTCTTTCCTGCACCATGTGACAGGCGCAGGGTATCAGACCCAGGTTTGTAGGAAGGCAGTTTACCTTGGGGGTTTTGACTCACCGAGTGTCTGGCACAACGCGAGTAGATTCGGAGTCCTTGGCTTCCTAGGTGTATAACTAGCCGGTTAATTTCCTTGTCTTTAAAGTAGGGTGTAAGGACAAATGAGCAGATGGGATCCTGTCATCTGAACTGCCCAGGGTCCCAGTCTGAAGCTTGGGGACCCAGGAATGAGGACCCAGTCCTAGTACAGATGATGGCCTGTGGCCCACAGCACAGCCTGAGTGTTGGGCTCTCTGGCGGCAAACACTACTACCCAGGCTCTGGTATCCCACTCTGTGCATGTGGATTTCAGATACCCCACGGCTATACTCTGTGGGACAGGCTTGGGAGCTAGACCATCCCTTCTAATGACTGCCTAAACTGTCTCTCGGCTCTCCTATCCAGATGTTCTCTCTCTCTCTCTCTCTCTCTCTCTCTCTCTCTCTCTCTCTAGCAAGGAGAGCTAAGAAGCGGGGTTCTGCGTGAATTAAAAATGCATTAAAGCTCTCAAAGGACATCAAAGGCAATTTCAGTTCCTGAGAACAAAGTGCATGTCTCAGAGCTGCGTCGCAATTCCCAGCATTATGGGTGCCCCCTCCAGCTCCTTCTCTATCGTTCACCTCCTGTGCGTGGTCTGTGCCGTGACACTCACCATCGCTTTAATTACAAGCCCATAATGCACAAATGTAGTTGGGAGGAAAGGGGACACAGGCCCCTTGGAGGGTAATTATGTGCTTGTTACAGCTCATTGACTGTCTCTCGTGGTGTATGAAACTCACACTAGGAGCCCAGCAAGGACCTGGGTGGAGCGGTGCCATGTGTCACTCAGCGTGCATTTCTAAGTTTCTACCGTGTCCAGGCTCTGTGTTGCTGGAGGTGTAAATATTGCAGGACAGAGCACTCTGGTCCCTGGGGTGTCTCCCATCTGCAGAGGACTCAGAAAAAGGCCTGAGACTTTCCCGACAATATAAAAGTTAAGCCAGCAGACATTACGAAGGAAAAGCATGTCAGTCTCTGAAGATATGGCACAGAGGTCCAGGGAAGAGGTCCCCAGGAGGTGACATTTGACCTGAGAACTTCGAGCCAGGTAGGTGAGGGACTGAAAAGAAATACAGAGCCTCAAGTTCATGGTGATGTCACCAAGAGTCCCTGGGTATTTGAAGCTAGGTCCCTGCTCCCAGCCTCCCAACTTTTAGATTGTGTTACACCCCTTGGGGTCTCCCTTAGGGCACCATGAAGCCCAATTGGGAACCTGCGGAGAATGGAACCAGCAACGGTTGGAAAAGGCACAGACAGATCACAGCTCAACAGGAAACCAGAAGCGTCTCCAGGGACACCGCCATGACACTTTGTCACTAAGTTTTAGAGGAAACAGATGACGCCATCTCCAATCAGCACCCGGCCAGGCAGGCGAGGAAGAGCACAGACAGACTGCCGATGTACCTGCTGGCACACTCTGCCATTGCCCACTGTTGTCCAACTGCTGAGGAAACTCATGGGGCAGCCAGGGGACAGCAGGCGACTTGCTAGCTCTCCCTTGAGGCTGAAGAGGGCTGGAGAAGTCATTGTTCCCTAAAGGCTCCTATATCTACCAGGACTGGATGGATGTCCTGGGTAAGTGCACAACACGCCTAGAAGTTCCAGAGGCAGGAGCATTTGAAGACCCGCTGCCAAAGAGTTGGGGCTCTGCATCATGGTGCACCCCACAGAGATGACCATCTTCTACTAGGACACAGCAGGGACCACAGGGGACTAAGGGCATACCGCACAATGAAGGGGTGGACACACGGGACCCCTGGGTACACCGTATGCTTAGGGGATGGCCATGGGAGGCTAAGTGCTTGTGGCACACCGAGAGGGAGAGCCACCGGGGACTGTGGGCCTCCTGCACACTAGGGTTCAGCTGCAGGGAGCTGCTTGCTGCAGTCAGCCCACACATGGCCAGAAATCACTCCTCTAGTGACGGGTGAGTCAGAGGGAGGGTGAGCCAGCTGTGAGTGGCTGAGAACTCCATGCCATAGGCGCTGAGGCAGGACGAAAGCTTGCTTCCCTAACAAAGCTAAGTGGAGAGTACAGTGCAGGGCTGGCCTTGTGTTTAACACTGTGGGGGGAGGGCCTGCTCTGTCCTGTCTCTAGGGTACCCTCTGTGTTAGACTTCTCTGAAGTTCCACCATGGCTGCTGGAGCTCTAGCCTCCAGGTCCACATCCCATCAGCCCGTGGCAGGAAGGCCACCATCCCACCTGACTCTAGTCTGACTGCCCCAGACCCCTCCCCGCTTGTGTACCGGCTTCACACTGAGTCATCCTAGCCATGGCTTGCATCCTGAGATGTACCCTGGGAGAGGCAAAGACATTCTCCCAGCACGGCCAGAGGAGAGGAAGGATGTCGTGTGCACCAGCCCCCAGCCCATGTGGAAGGAACCTGGCCAATGTCCATCCACAGCACACAGCAAGAGAAGAGGGTGACCATTCCCTGAGAATGAACCCAAGGAAGCCTGGAGAGCTGCAAAAGCAGGCGGGGAACACAGAGCGGGAGGCTTCGCGCAGCAGAGCTGAGTTCACAGCTGCAAACCCAAAGGATGCGGAAGAGTCTGTGGGGCCAATTACAGAGCAGCTGAGCTGGAGGCAGGAGGCGCCAGGATCCTGGTTCCCTGGGCAGACTCCATTAGGCCTATCCTTCCTTCCCATTTAAATCTCCTCTAAGTGCACCTTCCTACAGGAGAGAGAGAGAGACTGCTGATAGCTTGCAGTTTACAAGGGCCACAGGTGGCACCCCCAGATCCCTGCCTCAGTTCCAAGCCAGAGATGATGTGTGGTGCAGTCCTTCCGGCCATAGTGCTATCCTGGGGCCTCTGCAGTGACCCACCAGGGGCCCCATTCTCTCGTAGCAGTAGCCCCAAAGGGACTCCATGGTGCATCCAAGGGAGGGTTCTATGGTGCATCCCAGAGCAGCTGTGCCCCAGTCAGGGACTTGGGTCTCTCTCAGCCATCCTCATGGACCAGCTGTAGCTAGAAACTTCTCTGTACCATCTGTGGGCTCTGGAATTGACAACGCAGGGGCCCTGGGAAATAAGGACAGCCACCCTTGTAGCTTTGGGGCTGAGGGGCTGCCATACCGGTCCCTAGAAAGGGTGAATTGACAGAGATGGAGTCCAGAGTAGTGGCACACACCTTTAATCTGAGCACTCAGCAGTCCGATCTCTGAGTTCGAGGCCAGCCTGGTCTACAGAGTGAGTTCCAGGGTAGCCAGGGCTACACGGTGAAACCCTGGCTTAAAAACCAAATAATGAATAAAGTTTCTGTGGTTAATATCCTAAGTGGCATCGTGGAAAAGGAACAGAGCACGCAAGACAGATGGGAGAGGTCGACAGGCAGACATAAAAGTGACCGTGCCTCTACTTAAAGCTATTCCACAGCAACACGGGAGGCCTCTGGAGGCCGCAGAGACTCCAGACAGCCAGGGAAGGAGTGGGTAGTTTGGAAACAGACTGAGAAACTCCCCAAACAGAAACAGAGATGAGAAGGTGTTCTAAAAGCACCGGGAGTGGGGACTGGGGGGCAGTTATGAAAGAGGAAGCCATGGGAACCTGGGAAGAGACTGCAGTGTGTGTGTGTGTGTGTGTGTGTGTGTGTGTGTGTGTGTGTGTGTGTGTAAAAATAGTGACTAGGCCAGTGGGTGGCTCCGTTGGTAAAGGTACTGGATGCCAGGCCTGACCACCTGAGTTGATCTCCAGAACCTGCATGGTGGAAAGAGAAAATCAGCACCAGCAAATTGTCCTCTGATTCCACAATGAGCTCCAGCATAGGCTGGCTCTGTGTCTCCGTCTCTCTCAATGTAATTTTAAAAAGAGAGATAGGAGCTAGAGAGATGGCTCAGCACTTAAGAGTACTTTCTGCTCTTGCAGAGGTCTGGGGTTGCATCTCCAGCACCCACACGGTGCTGTAGCTCTAGCTGTAACTCTAGCTCCAAGAGACTGATGCCCTCTTCTGGCCTCCTGGGTACTTGCACACACACATGTGCACAGACATACATGCAGGCAAAAGACCTGCATGTATGTACATAAAGATTTTTTCAATAATATTTTAAATTAAAATGAATAAGGTAAATGGTAATGACTGAGAACGTCCCAACACACCAACCACAGATACAGGAAGCCCTCATGGAGCAACACACACACACACACACACACACACACACACACACACACACACACGTACTCGGAAAGTCAACCAAGATGTGTCATTAAAATGGTGCAAATCTCAAGTAAACTTCTGCTTAGGTCAGAAGGCGGGGGATGGTGGCGGGGAGCTGGAGGAGGGGGAGCCCAGCTTACCCACAAAGCAGCAAGAATAGCGTTACAGAGGAACTTCCTACCAACTCTGCTCAGGAAGATGGCGGACAGTAATATTGGAGCAATTGAAAGAAACACACACACACACACACACACACACACACACACACACACACACACACACACACCAGTGTTGAATTACATAATTGTAGCAAAACCATCCTGTGGAGAAAGTCAGCTCTATCTCAGGGAAGCGGACAGGGGAGCCGGTACTCAGCATGCCTCTTCCTTGCAGGAAATGGTGAGTTTCTTCAGAAAGCGGAAAGTGATTAGATCGGATATAAACCCTAATTAACACGAAAAACAGAGTCCCAGTAGCGGGGTATCCAAGAAGAAATAAGGGAGGGTAGGATAAAGCGCTGTTTCCGTTCCTAATTGATTTAAGAACTAGCCGGTCCACTACAGGAACACGGCAGCAGTCTTACCTTATTAAGTTTTGTCTTTTGCACCTTCTGCTACCTGTGGTCTACCAGAGTCTAAAAATATGAAACAAAAAAATCCAAGAATTGATTTTTAAAAACTGCATGCCCTTCTGAGGGGGTGCCATAAAAATCTCACGCGGTCCTGTTCTAGCCACCTGAAATGTGGATCTTCCCTCTGTCTGGTGTGTCCATATATGCCTCCTGCCTGTCCAGCTGGAAGCATCCCCACCCTGTAGGCTTCCTGCCCATCCGTCTATCACATGCCCCACCACATGCATGATCGAGCCAATCGTGTTCAGCATCCACACTGCATATGTCCCCTGCTTGCTGGCCTGTCACGCCCATGCCATATATGCTTCCCCCTGCCAGTCACTCAACAGGCTTGGTCATGAGGTCAACAGTGATTGGTTCAAACAATGCTTATCGAGGAGGCTAAGGCTATGCTGGGATGCCCAGGTCATCACCATGCTTCGTCTGGTCTCACGGGCATTGCGTCACCCCACACCCTCCCAGGAAGAAAACCCAAACGCAGTGCGTTCAGAGAGAGATCAGAGTCCCACCTCTCCTGACATTGCTGTAGTCGGATCGTTACTACTGCTGTTCATCTCTTACTGTGACTGTGAGTGACAACCCACTGACCAATGAGTGACTACAATTTAGCAGGTGGGACCTACCGTAGGCGAGTCTGGTGAAACCGAACATCCGCTGGGCTGCACATCAACCAAACTCTCAAGCCTTCGCCCGAACCTCACTCTGCCACCGAGAGCTAATTTTAGCGGAATAAAGAAGGTGCATGCTGCAGCCAATGAGGGAAATACATTTGGAAGGATTGTCTATTGAAGCACACAGCCTAGGAGGACCCAAGCCAGACAGTTCCTTCTGTTGTCCCCTTCCTTCCCAAGCCTGCTGTTTGCCCTGGGATGCTCACACCCACCCTAGGATGCAGACTTCTGGGATGGAATATACTGGGTATACAGTAGGCTCTGAGACTTTTGTGACAGCATCCTGTTAGGGTGCCGCTAACCACAGATTGTGAAGCCCAACACTATAGTTAAGGACATTGAGAGTTTATTTTATCAAAACCACAACATGTCTTCACTATAGCAGCAACTCATCATCTCCCCTCTGCTGTAAACTACTCACACACACCATTCTTTCTAATTTATGTGGGGCCAAATTACACACAGATAATAAATGATTGCGGAAGCCAAAGTAGGTAGCCTATAAATAAAACCACACACTTTCACTCACTGGAAACGGGAAGCTGAGACAGGGTTTGCTCTTGGCTTCTCTCGATATATCAGCTACATAAGAGCGAGTATTACAAAAAGCCAGGAACTGAGAATCCCACTGGGAATAAAGACAGTCCTGTCCTGCCTTGCCTCAGTGGGAGCCCAGTATGCATGGGGGGGGGGGGGATACAGTGTTCTCACTACTGGGAGCTCAGCAGGGCAGGTCGGACCCTGGGTCACTGGTGTCTGGTTTGGGGAGTAGTGAGATGCTGAGCAGTGACCACACACATTCTGTAGACAGGACTCGTCACCAAACACAGAGTCTCGGCATGACCTCAGCCGCACTGGCCAAAGGGGCTGCAGGAGGGTAGGTCACGGGGGCCCAGATGGCTCATAGATCTAAGTCCTGGCTTGGACAGAACCAAGTCTGGTCCTATAGCCTTCTGGCTTCTGGAAGAGATGCCTTCATGGGGGCTGTCACTTAGGGGCTCGGGTGTGGCTCAGTGTGGAGTGTTTGCCTAGCTATGCAAGGCCCTTGCACCATTTCATTACAAATGGAGAAAAAGAAAAGAAATCAATCAAAGCCCAAAAGACCCATAGAACTGGGTGGAAACATGTTCTAAAGCCAAGCAAGTGTGGGGGGTAGGCGCTCAGGGATGTCATGGGAAATGGGGGTTTTCCAGTATCAGGGTCAGACTGGCCATCCGAGCTGTGCATGTCATAGATACTTAGGTTCCTGTCACACTAGTTGACCCTTCACAGCCTGTTCCATAATTCTCCGTGATCCCCACCCACACGAGGATCTTGTTGACAAGCAGTTGTCACAATGACTAAATGACTGCGCTTCCCCGGGCTGGGTCTGATTCTGTCCACTCACGCCAACCCCAAAAGCCTCCAGTGGCCACCCTGCCCAGGAGTGGGGACTTGGTGTGGTCACTGATGGAAGTCTCTGCAGTGTGGTGGTTGGTCTGGTGTACGACATGAGGGACATACAATATCTAAGCGATCTGGTGCCTCGTTGGCACCGAGGTGGCATATCTAAGTAATGAGAAAGCATACCATAGGGGTAGCTACGCCCCCTAGAAAACCAGGAGATGCAGATGTAGGCGGTTCCCCAGCAGAGGATCTCAGTCCTGGAGGAGGCAGTGGACAGAGAGAGGCTCATGTTTGAAACCTAAGGCTGACTTTAGGTCCAGCGAGGCACAGCTTACAAGGAATAGGCTGAGTCAGTTCCTAGGCAGTGGCTCCATTAGACTGTCTTCACAAGGCTCCATCTACAGGATAGTGGGTGACTCCAGACAGGCAAAAGCAGAGACCCCAGAAGTGGTGTACAGCTAGGGTGGGAGGTGGCCCAATTAGCGTCCCCTTGCATGAAGATGTACATTCCAATTAGTGCTGGCCTCACCCCCCCCTATCCCACCCCCCGCCGCCATTAACTCAGCTATGTCTGTTGACCCTCTGGAGACACTCAGGACCTTAGGTACCCCTTAGAACTTTGAGTCTCCAGCAAGGCGGAGGTTATGATCTCTTATAGCTGCATCCTCCCGTCTCATTTATCACAGCCTTGCTGGTACTGTGCTCTGTGCTCTCATGATAACAAGGGAGGTTCACACTTAGTGTCACCATGGGCTACATCGCACTCCGGTGTGCACAGAGGACAGACGTGTGCCTACCACATCAGGGAAGAAGGGCCACATCATCACTGGCCACACCACCCTGAGTCAAATTGCAGTGATAAAGAGGATACTCTGCACAGTTATAGGTCGGGGCTGTGATCCCAGGCCGAGGCAGCAGGGAGAGGGACCCATGATGGAGGCAGGGTGCGCATTTTTTTTTTCTCTGCTTCGGGGAAGGCACTTGTTTTGAATGGCAGCCACCCTGATCACACAGTGGACAGGTCCACACGGTGGGCAGAAAGGCTGCTCTTGTCCCAAGGGCTTAACTTTGTGGATGCCACGCCTGGCCGGGTCCCGTTGACCTGCAAAACACAAAGGGAGGTATGAAGACAATTCAAGAGGTAGAATTTCAGTCCGTAGGAATACAACAAGCTTTGGACCCGGGGACCATGTGAGGATCTGGGACCGCACTTCTGAGACTCAAAGAGTCCAGACCAGAGCACCCCAGGCAGGTTCTAACCCCATGAAGGTCAGGTTCTTGGCTCATCACCAATCAGTCAAGTGAGCTCTCTTCGAGGAACACGCCATGTACCAGGAACTTGGAAAAGGGGGAGGGGGCGCTGTTAGACAAAGCTAAGCTTCATCTTGGCCCTCATGAGTTTATTTCCAGGAAGGGGACAGACAACGGTCATTAGGAAAGTGGCTGAGGTGGGAGACTGACCATGAGTCAGCGACACTTTTACCTAGTGCCATCCAGGAAGGAAACACTAGAGCAGTGGTTCTCAACCTGTGGGTCCCGACCCCTTTGGGGGTTGCCCATCGGATATCCTGCATATCCGATATTTGCATTATGATTCGTCACAGTAGCAAAATTACAGTTACAAAGCAGCCACGAAAATAATTTTATTGTGTGGGGGGAGGTGCGGGGGGGGGGGAGGTCACCACAACATGAGGAGTTGCATTAAAGGGCCGCAGTATTAGGAAGGTTGAGATGCACTGCCCTAGAACAAAGGGCTAGTAGATGACAGATAAATGGACTGCATTGCAGGCTAGACCCTCCCAGGGGCCTGGAGAAGAGGGAGCTGTGGGCGGAGCTCTGTATTTTAAACAACGGCTTGCAACAGCATGCATCCTCCCTGAAGCAGAGGCTATGTCCACCTGTGAAGCAGGCTTGCAGCCAGGTTGATGTCCAGGATTGCTGGTCCAGGTAACAGCCACATACTAACTAGAGCCCTGAGGATGGTGAGGGGAAGGAGGAAGGCATTTGGAACAGGTCTAGTGAAGCCAGGGAAGGGACTCAGGAAGACACGTCACATTGTACTCACGATATCGGAACTGAAGGGCTTTGTGTTTGTGGTGCGGGCAGAGCTGCTTGTGAGGGACCAGACCTTGGTCTTGTGCTTGAAGGCAGCTCTCACCTTCAAAGGCAGAAGAAAGAGCCTGAGAGGGAACTCCAGAAGCTGGCCTAGCAAATTCTCAGGGGTCATTGCCAACCGCCTCTAAAGACTTGCTGTGATGTGAGCCCCAGGCACCCAATGTAAGGGCGTGGCATCGGAGTTGGTACCAGTATCGACATCAGAATCAGTGGTTCCCAAGCAGAACCTAACAGGGATTGTTATTACCCTAGACAACACTGCCCTTCTCTCTGTGCCCTTACGGAAGTGAAAAGCTACTTGGAGCTGTCAGGGGGGTGGGATGGACATACCTCTGAGTTTAGGAGACAGTGAAAGAGGAAGATGAAGAGGCCCTGGGAAGGAAGGGGAGAGACAACATCAGAGCCACACACTGACACAAGGTCCCTGCATCACTCGAGCCTGAGGGAGGCATGGGCATAGCTCACTGTGGCGGCGGGGAGGGGTACAGGGGGAGGAGGGGTGCGGGGGGAGGGGGGCCTCAGGCCTGCAGCCCCAGGGAAGGAAGATTTCCAGATGGCTCAATTCAGGGAGGGGCAAAGACCCTGATCACCACCCCCGACTTCCAAGCAGAGGACACCAGACTCTGCCTTAAGTGGGCCTTGGTGTTCACACCCGACAGGGATGATGGGAGCCGTCTGTGTTGCCGGCCTGTTGGCCCGCAGGCTCTTCTTACCTGCAAGGAGTTGAGGACAGCAAACATGTATTGGAAGACCAGGGCCCGGTCACTGACGGCCAGCACTCCAAACACCCATGAGGTTCCCAGGATGGGTAACAGCACAGCGACAGCCTTGGCCGTCAACCTGGAACGGAAGACGGTGACATTCACGTTAGCCATGGGCAGGCGGACCAGGCCAGGAGGACCTTAGGGGGCCAGGTCTGCTGTGAACAGAAACGGTTCAGCAGGGAATGAGATGGGGCTGTCTATGGACTGCGGAGCTGCAGGGCACCAACCTGCCTGCCCAGGGTACCCTGATCTCTGAAGCTCTACAGAGCCCAGATGGGGCCAGCATTTGGTGGTGGTGCTTCTGCAGAGAGAGGTAGAGGTGAAGGCACCTCCTGGCTGGGCTCTGGGAGAGATGGTGGGTGTAAGTGGGGGTGGTGGTGGTAGGAGTTCAAACGTTCTGGGCACAGCGGCAGCCTTGGTCCTGCAGGTGCCAGGCTAAGATAGGAGCAAAAGCCTGGGCTGAGTATGAGAGCTGGGGACAGAGCGGCCACCATGACCACTGAAGAGCCTTAGGGTTGAGGATGGAGTGTAGAAGAACAACCTCCCTCCTGATCAGGCCACAGTGGGCAGGGGACAGTCCCGGCTCCCCCACCCGTGAGATGGAAGAGGTGAGGAAATGCTCCTGACCCTCATGAATTTATTTCTTCATCTAAGCACAGCCTAGAAGGTTCTAGGGGCAGAAAAAGCCCAAGAGAGCTGCCTCCACTTGTCAAGTTAATTTATGGGGTTTAGAATCATTAGCTCATTGATTTGCTGTTGCCTGTTCATAGTTTTGCCTGACGCACTGTTTTAAAAGTCGCTTACAGGATGCCAGCTGTTTCTATGGGAGTTCCCAAATCACCTGCAATGGGGCCCTCAGCCATGATCCTTAGGGTGCAGGGTGCTGGCAGTCCTCTATGGTCAAGAAGGACTATGAATCTTGGGTCCATGAATCCCCATGAGTGAATCCCACCCCATTGGGCACAAGACTTGGCCACTGTCACCATAATCCCACCACACCCCCTTGTACAAGAAGGAAGACACTCTCCCAAAGAGGCCACTGGCCACCACTGTTCTGCCTCTAGGAGGGGAGTGTGGATTTGGGCATGAAGCCCATTCTGAGGAGAGACACAAAATGGGAACTGAGCTCAGGAGACTGTGTCTCCATGTATGGGGTATCTTACAGACTCAGGTCTTCCTGGTCACTGCATCTCCCTCTGCCACATCTAGTTGCTGTAGGTTTTTCTGACATTTGCCATTGACAGGCCCCATAGATAAATACTAGGAACCCAGGCAACCTCAATTGGCATATCAGTCCCATTGGCGGGGGGTACTTCCAAAGATCTCCCTTCTCCTTCAGTAGTAGCCCAGTGTGCATGGAGCACTGCTTTCTAGAATGTTCCATCACATGACAGCCCAAGAAGAGGGCTTTGTATTCCCTTTCCACTGTGAAGGAAGTGAAAGGCAGAGGGGCCCACTGCTGCAGGACCTAGATGTCAGATTTTCATCTCTAGAGTCTCCATTTCCCCTCCCTCCAGCCATCTCAGATTCTGGCTAGAGAAGTCCCAGGAGGGCATCTTCATGTGGTCCCCAAGGCTGCAGTAGGACCTCATCTTGCATCACTAGGAGTAAATAATGGAATAAGGACCTAAACCAACTCAGGCTGACTATGTAGGGCTTGAAGATGCAGAGCCACTCTGGAGGAGACTCAGGTGCTGGTCCTGGGAAGCAACGTTGTCTCTCCTGAAGCCTCTCGTAGCCCCCATGGGCAGTGCAGTGGGATGTGGACAGTTGGGGTCAACTTACTTGAAGGCACTGGGGTCCCCGTGTATCTTGTAGCTGTCGGTGCTGATGTGGGAAATGACCCTCGTCACGGCTACCAGGATAACGATGTTGACCTGTGAGGGAGGAGAGGGAGGGAGGCAGTGAGCGGCTGGGTCCACCCAAGGACACAGGAACATGCCCCACAGTAGCCACTCCTCAGGCAACAGGGAACGCGGCTGGGATGAATTCAAGGCAGATCCCTGGACTTTGAGTAGGACAGATGCTACATAAGCCTGCCCCACAAGCATCGTGGTGGAAAGAATGAGTGTGACCTTTGGGGTCAGACGAACCAGTCAAAGCTCATCTCGTGTTTGCTCACTCTGCCTGACCCTGGATACCTCCGTGGGTCCTGGGAATCTCTGCTTCCCGCTGAGACAAAGATTGGCTGGTGCAAACTAACCAGAGAAAGAGGAGATGCCTCATTTGCTCAGTCCATGTATGGCAGCTGGCTCTCATCATCCCACACACCCGTATGATGTTTGACAGCCATAGCGGTGGGGACGTGTTATCTGTGCCCAGCACTGCTCCTGCTCCAGGGTGGGGACAAAGGGACATGCTGGGTGACTCCAACACTCTATCCCAGCCCCTCTGCTAGCAGCTCTCCTGAATCTGAAATGTTAAGGGGCGAGATAGGACTAGCAGGAGGCATGACCCCCAGTCTCTTTCCGCTTGAGGGGCCAGTGGGTTGTGAGAGCGATGCTGTGGCCAGAGCCCATTCCCTTAAGTGTTAAAATCTTTGAGATCATCGGGAAGCCAGCTCCAGACTCACGACCTTAGAACTGACGGAGGCATCACTATCAGGTGTCTCAGGGAGGCTGCTGGTCTGTCCAGCCTTGTGTACTGCCAGACCTGGTAATACTGGAGAGGCCTGCAGTCAAGACCTCTGACAACACAGCCTTGCGGCCACATGCATGCATCAGTGAGCCTAGGTGGCTGTTGTCCCGGGCCATTCTGAGACCCCTCTGCAGAGAATGCCTGATTTGGGGGGACTTGAGATGCTTTCTCCGCTCTCATTCCAGCTGGTATTTTTCCACTCCAGCCCTCTCCCTCTGCCTCCTCCCGGCTCCCATCCATCACCCAGAGCCTTTTGTTAAAGGTTTTCAGCTGAGACAATTCTGGGTCTGTGCTATGCCAGGGGAAAACGAGGCACTATGGGTACCTCGCCTATCCTGTCTAGACTCTTGCTTACGCTACCGTCAGACATGAACAAAAGCTTAACCGTCACTTTCCCTTGGTGCCTTGTTGCCCCGGGTAACAACAGAGTCTCCCAAGGTCGGGGAAGATGAGAGAGGTTAATGCATAACCAGCTAGCACAGTGTCACGCAGTGTCCTGTAATTCAGCTGCCCTCCAGCCTTCCTACAACTGACGACTGGGGCCAGAAAACAACATTTGACAGGAGCAAGAAGAGACAGTGGGTGTGACGGGGCCACTGACTTTTAGACCTAGTTACACTCCAACTTGGACAGTGACAGACGTCAGAGCAAGCTATGCGTGGTGACTGATTCAAGGGACAGGGGTGTCACCTCAGACCACCAGGGCCATTGACACCTGAGAGCATTCTGCTGTCTTCAGTCACGGTGCCCTGGGCTGTGTGCCCCATATCCTACAGAGCACCCACTGGGTCACCAAGGGAGAGCGGAGAGGGAACAGCCCCAGCTCACAAAATCACAGACCCTGCCTGGCCTCCTGTGATTCGGTAGATTTTCTTGGGGAAAAAAAAATAATAAATGCTTTTTTTGTGTGCGTATGCCTTTGGTTCATTCCCAGAGTGCTGGGTTTCTAACAATGCAATTCTTTGTGCCGTCCCCCTGATTTGGAGGGTAGAGTTATTCTGTCTCCCATTGGCATGCTGCCAGCCTGCCCCTTTCACTATGGGAATGTACAGCTTAGCTGTCTCACACACCTGTAAAGGCTGATGATTGGAAGCAAATTGGTTATGCACCAGTGGGCAACAGATGTGGACCGCAGGGCTCTCTAGAGGTCATACCTATGACACAGGCATGGTCCTTTTTCCTGCCTAAAGCCTCGGGGCCCTGGTCCCCTGGAGGAGATACTACTGCGGTAAAGATACACATGGAGGTGCCCAGTCTGCAGAAAACCCATGGTGATGGAGAAGCTAGTACCAAGCCTGCTCCCTTGGGGAGAGTTGATACTGGGGGATGGAAGAGTAGACGTGGGCAGAGATTGTTCATATATTCAGATTTTTTTTCATATATTCCTATGATTGTCTCTTAACCATGTCTGTTACAAATTTAAAAATCAAATCACCTAACTACTTTTTAATCTGGAGCAATTATAAATTAAAAGGAAAATTACTTGAAACTCATCATCGGTGAATATGTCAACAGCGTCCTTGGGGGGTCACAAAGATATTTAACCGGGCTAGGTTCTAGCAACTTAGGAATGTGATGGGCTTGGGGAAGAGCCACAGGATGCTGCCTGTGGGAGAGATTCCGATACCTTGTGCCGGGTTAGAGGTCACACTACCCAGCTTCTCACGTGAGCTGAGAGGCCACATCATGGTGAGCAGGCCACATGAATTCACGGTCACAGCACCTTCTCCAGACGCTATAAAAGGTGATTCCATCTCAGATCTCAAAGCAAAGACCAGAGATGTAGCCCCATGTCCCCAGGCTTCCTAAACCAGGCTACCAACAGTGCAACTGACTCACGAGAGAGTGTTTCGCAAACATGAAAATGTGACAGATGAGAACTTCAGGATTTTTTGACCGAACTACATGGTGTCTCGGCACCAGCAAAACTGCTCATATTGCTCTGTGCCCACCCATCACCATTTCTCTTTTTATAATTTTTTTCTGGGTTTTATTTCTGCCCTAGGTGTGTCTGGTTTCATTTGGAAGCCTTGGACCTGGTCCACCACATCTGTAGTGACTTATCTACATGTCTGTGGTTTCACATCTGTTGCTATGCCTGGACCATCCTGTCGGCAACAGCACCGGGAGAGGGTGATCCTGCATCCGTGTAGTGATTTAAGCCCATGGCTTACGAACAACATAATCTAGAATTTCACAGAAATACAAAGCAGAGTGGGTCTGACCTCTCGGCTCCACGCTGCTCTCTCTGGCCCACATTCTAGCAGGACTAGGGAGGCCTGGTTTGGTTGAGACGCTGTGTGATATGAGCGTCAGTGGTTTGCAGCAATTTGTGTGACCTGTCAGGTTGGGGACAAACATCAAAGAAACAATTCCAAGCTGCATTTCAGAAGAGTAGAACTGCATACCAGGCAGTCAAACATAAAGCTGAGTACAGGCCAAGATGACCCAGGAAAAGATCATGGTGGCCTCTGGGGAACGAAGGAGGGATGGTAGGTGAGGCCTCTGGGGTTGGGTCTGGCTCTTCAGCTCTGTCAACTTAGGATCATCTAGGATCTTTTAAAAAAAAAAGGGGGGGTGGGGGAGGAAGACGTGCAGCAGTGTTTTACAGGGAGAAGCTATCCACATCTGTACACACATACACAATATATAATATCCCAGTGGTATGTCACGTCCCAGAATCCCCATGTCTTATGTCTGCCTGGGAACTCTGTGTACAGCCTTGCATGTGGCTCTGGACTTACATGCCTATAGCTCTTTGTAACGGTGGATCTATGTGCCTATAGCCCAGTCTGTAATGTGTCTGTGTCCGTAATTCTGTGTAGCCATGGATCTATGTGTCCATAGCTCTATATATCTGTGGATCTATGTGCCTGTAATTCTGTCTGTAGCTATGAATCTATGGGCCTGTAGCTCTGTGTCTGTCAGTATCTGTGGACCTATGCCTTAGTTTTGTGCATCTATATAGTATGGGCCTATAGCTCTGTGGATCTGAGGATCTATGGGCCTATGGCTTTGTGGCTCTGTGGATCTAAAGGCCTACAGCTTTGTGGTTCTGTGGATCTATACGCCTATAGCCTTGTGGCTCTGTGGATCTATGGGCATGTAGACTTGTGGCTCTGTGGATCTATGGGCCTGTAGACTTGTGGCTCTGTGGATCTATGGGCCTGTAGACTTGTGGATCTGTGGATCTATGGGCCTATAGCCTTGTGGCTCTGTGGATCTATGGGCCTGTAGACTTGTGGCTCTGTGGATCTATGGGCCTGTAGACTTGTGGATCTGTGGATCTATGGGCCTGTAGACTTGTGGATCTGTGGATCTATGGGCCTGTAGCCTTGTGGCTCTGTGGATCTATGGGCCTATAGCCTTGTGGCTCTGTGGATCTATGGGCCTGTAGACTTGTGGCTCTGTGGATCTATGGGCCTGTAGACTTGTGGCTCTGTGGATCTATGGGCCTATAGCCTTGTGGCTCTGTGGATCTATGGGCCTATAGCTCTGCAGCTGCAGCTGCCTATTCATTCATGTGTCTATACTTGGCTTCTCGAGGAAGACAAGGATTTTGAGTACTAGGATCTTTTCTCTCTCCCATACCTGGAGGTATTGTTCTCCGGTCCTTTTTGGGACAGGCACAGACCAAGTGAGCCACTGTGGGACACAGGCTACAGTACCCATTCTCTTGTTGAAGTCTCTCTTCTCGGTAGGGGTGGGGGTGGCAGTGTGCACGCTCTTTGGACTGATCTGCATTCCCTTGTGACCAAGCTTCTACCACATAACCACAAAATATTACTGCATTTTGAAGTGGGGCATTCAGAGAGGTGATGTATTAAACTGGGGTCATTTGTACGGGTTGTAATCAAACAGAGCTATGGCCTCCCACAGGCAAATGGCCAAGGAGAGAGGGAACCAGGGAAACTGACCCACTGAGCCTTTGATTTCGGATATCTGGCTTCAGTGGCAATAAGGGAATAATTCCCTTCATTCAAGCCCCTGGTCTATGGCACTTTCTTGCAAGATCTTGAGCAGATGAAGCCCTGGGGAACTGCTGGTCCATTGAACAGGTCTTCATTTAGCATCATCAAGTTGGATGGTGGTTCCTGATGCTGAGGGGCTCAGTTCTGCTTTTCTCTTTGGCTCAAGGTCTAGGTGACTAGCTACTGTCCACAACCTCCTGCACCTGCAGCCTAGCCGTCACTAGTACAAGTAAAGCTACATGTTCTGACACACACATCCAACTTTCTAAAATGGCTTTACTTGAAAAGTTTGCAGGCCAGCCTGGCAGTGGTGTACCCTTTTAATCCCAGCACTCAGGAGGCAGAGGCAGGCAGATCTCTGAGTTCGAGGCCAGCCTGGTCTACAGAGTGAGTCTCAGGATAGCCAGGGATACACAGAGAAACCCTGCCTCGAAAAACTGGGCTTCGGAGAGGTTTCTGCAGTTAAGAGAATGTACTGTTCTTGCAAAGGACCTGAGGTTGGTTCCCAGAATCTACACTGGGTACCTCATAACTGACTGTAACTCCAGCTCCAGGGAATTCAATGCTTCTAGCCTCCTTGGGGACCCGCACTCACACTCATGTGTATAAACCCACACAAAGATACGCACATATACAACATTAAAAATAATAAAAATAAATCTTTAAAACTGTGCTAGCCTTGTGGGGGTTGTTTTTAGATGCATATAAAGTCTAGGCATGGGGCAGTAATCCCACACTGCTCCCCAGGGAGCCACCATTCAGGAGTATCCGCCCCACATTTTCCCATCCATTTCCCACTTGCTTGAGAATAAGTGCCCACGGAGAGCTTTTACACAAATGGGGTCAGGCCATGCTTGACATCCAAAACTTGCTTCCTCCATTTGGAAGTAAGGCGGAGAACTACTGGGTGAATGAGGGCATAGCTCAGGAGGGCACAAAATGCCATCCCATCCCTACTCCAGCACCCAGCCTGAGGCCTGGCAGTCAGCAGGACCAGCCACAGCATGCCTCACACCGGGGATTGGCCACCTTTTTCTGCCACGGGCTGGGTAGTGAATACCTTTGGCTCTGAAGGCTGCAGCGTCTGCTGCAGAATGTCTCCGCACCGCAATCTGAACAGCTGCAGACACATTGTAAATCAGCAAGTGTGGCTGTGGCCCAAAACCTGACCTCAAAGTAGGTGTGGTCGTGCCATTACCACGGAGCCCTAAGAGCAGTGGTTCTCAACCTCCCTAATGTGTGACCCTTTAATACAGTTCCTCATGTTGTGGTGACCCCTAACCACAAAAGTTATTTTCGTGGCTACTTCATAACTGTAATTTTGTTGCTGTTATGAATCATAACATAAATATCTGTGCTTTCTGACAGTCTTAAGTGACCCATGTGAAAGGGTCCTTCAGTCTCTCCCAAAGGGGTCTCGACCCACAGGTTGAAAGCCACTGCCTGAGAGGCTGCCTGCACCTCCTTCTCAGCTTCGACCACGCCCCACTCTACAGGAAGGCACCAGATGACCCCACATTAGCTAGAGCAACTGGAGGGAATTTACAAGCTGCTCTTTCCAAAGCCTCTGCAGATCATGTGGACAGGGGAAGCTTTAAGCATCACGTGATGTGGCTGAGGACTTCTGTCCCTGGGGTTGAGAATGACTGACACTCTGGGAAATGAGCAGGGTGCTTTAGGCAGCGCAACCCCTGGGAGTGACACCCAGCGCTCCATGAATCTGGGACAAGGGTGCTGGGTTTCTGATGCTAGGGTGAGAAGGATCTGGGCCCAGTGGCCTCAGACCCTGGCTGCCCCTGGCTAGAGGCACACAAAGAACATCTGTACCCAGAGGTTCTTCCTGGCCCAGAAGATCCGGAGGGTCTGTGTGTTTAAGAAAGAGAAGAAGACGGACCTCAAACCTGAGTCCTCCCTTTCTTGGTCCTGGGGCCCCGCTGCCTTCAAGCCAACGGTGTCCCCTGAACCAAGAGGGACTGTGGAGGAGTGGGGACCTCTACCAAGAATGCATTCACATGATGAAGGGTCCTGCTAAACCCCAGACAGTAGGGAGACTTGGTACCAACCTCTTGCCAAGCCTCTGTGAGCCCACCCTAAAACAACTAACAATGGCAGCTGACCCTCCTGTAGGCCTGGGCACAGCACAGCTCTAGCATGGGAAACTCCACAGCACCGTGATATGTTGTGATCTCTACACTGAGAGCTGCTAATGGGAAGAAAACCGTATGGAGGCCAGAGCTCTTTTCGGACATACCTGGAGGGGGTTGGGCTCCACCTCATCCCTAGTCTAGACCTCTCGGTCCTCCTTGAAGGTGATTCTCACACTAAATGGGACCCCCTCTAGACCCTGTGAACCTCCCTGCTGGGTCATGGCTTCCAGTTCCTTTGAGGCTTCTTTTCCCAAGAAGCTATGCAAGTTTGCCTGGGATAGCCCCCAAGCCCTGGGAGCTACCTCAGGGGACTGACCTGTAAACGTGGATCCTGGGCCAAGCCTCAGCCAGGACCCAGCCTCAAAGCTAGCATGATCTACCCCCCCATTCCCCCCCCCTTCAAAGAAAGAGGAAATTACTTCCAGGATCCTGGGGCCTATGGACCTTGCAGAGCAGAATTTCCAGTGGGAAAAGGTTCGGCAAAAATGAAGTACAGCAGGAACTACGATGGTCATGTGTTTAGCAGGAGCCACATGCATAGTGACAGTGCCTGGCCTCCCCGCCCCAAAGGGCACTGTGATTACAGTTCCCTCTCTGCCCTCTGTAGACCCTCAGCCAAGAAAGGTGCCATTGTGCCCATTAGCATGAGGGCATCAAAGAAGAATCAGCCCAGCCATTCAGCAACTCCCTCAGTTTCCTTTATAATTAACTACCAGTCCTGCCTCAAACAGTGCTGCCGAATGGGGATGGTCACACAGATTCATAGTCAGGAAAAGCAGAGGAGAGGGATGGGAGTTATGGCCTTCTTGAAGTGTGTGTGTACGTGGAGAGAGAGGGGGACCCTCAGATGCGGTCCAAGACTTCCCAGAGGTCACCTCATTCTTTATCTGGTGAGATGTGAAGTCTGATACCACCTGAGATGTGAGGACAGTGTCGCCGTTCTCCCCACCCCTGCTCCCCGCAATCAGGGTGGGGCTGGGACACCCCATCTTGGGGGTAGCAAACAAGCCTACAGAAGGCCAATGTATCTCTACAAAGGGTATCCTTTGGCACTGGTCAGCAATGGCCCCCCTGGAGCCTATGAAGACTACAACACCCTACAAAGGTAGCAGGGTGGAGGGCAGGATCTCCAGGACCCCAGTTATGACTCAGTCTAGGCAGGAAGCCCTTCCCAGAGTGGGGTGGTTGGGTCCTGACCCCTATGACTACACCAAGTTTGCTCCGTGAACCCCCACACCCCCACAGACATGAGCCTCGGCACACAGGCACTGGGGTCAGCAGGAGGATGTAGCCATGGTTACGAGAATGCTGTATGGGTCTGGCTGCTCTGCTCGTTAACCCTGGGGCAACTGCCACAGAGAGTAGTCACAGGGAAGATAAAGAGCTCCCTAGCCACGGGCAGGTGTCTCGCTTAGAGCAATGTGGCTGATACCTGTCTCTATGCCCCGGACTGTTCCCACACTGTCACGTGTCTTCATTTCATGACATGAATCTTCACTTATATGTGGGGTTCCCACAAGACCCTCTAGCATCCCAGCCTTGGGGTGCTGGGGCTCTCTGAGAATTCTGTGCATGCCTCTGGGCCTGAGCTCAGCAGAGGTGCACTGAGGGCTTGTTGGGGTTGCTCCAAACTCAGGGTCTTCATGAGGCTATGGTAAGCCAAGGCTCAAAGTCACTCACCCCGCCTCCCCTGCCTGGGGGGAGGGGGAGAACAGTAAGTATAAAAGATAAATGGCAGCATGATGCTATATCTTGGGGTGTATCTTCAGGGAGCCTGGCACAGTCCACGTGGCCCTGACCCTGGCCTGCCTGGCTCTGCCCATAAAGTGAGGAGACTTACCACAATGACCAGCAGGGCAGGGCCCACAAAGGCCCAAATAGCACCACTTCCCAGGGACAACCAGCAGCTGTGGAGAGAGAAGAGTTACTTCAGCAACCCTGTCCACCCTCCACAGAGGCACCTCCACCCCAGTGGCCCTCAGCCACAGCAACGGCAGGGCCGCAGCCCAGTGAGAGAATTCATAGGCTCTCGGTGCCGCTATGACACCCACTCTTCAACCCAGTCACTTCCATGGTGATCTCATGGGTCTTTTTCTTGGAGAGGATGTCTCAGGATCGATGCCTGGGTCAGCCACCTCTGTGGAGTTCAGCCACAACACAGAGTAGATTTCTGTTTCATTACCACAGTAAACAAAAGGCCTCACCAGGGACTGGCTCCGGGTCTTTGCAGAGAGAATCAAATATTGGCCAGGAAGGGACCTCCAGTAGGCCTCAGGGAACTGGTTGGCCACCTGCCCATCTGCCCTGGGCCTTCTGGTCACTACACCCCCATGGAACCCTAGCACAAAAAAAAGGTTCCAGTGCATCCCAGCAATCGCTCGCTCTAACATGCTGGAGTACAGTGACTAGGAATGTGGTAGTCCACCTGCTGTTCTCAGAGACACGGCCCCTAACTCAAGTGAGATGGCCAGCTTCCCCACAGGGTTCCATGACCTCCCAGTGCTGGGGTGGAGTCCAGGAATGTCATCTTTTCAATCCTGGACACTAACGTTCCTCCCTCGAGACACGACTGGGACCCACAGAGACGGCAGGAAAGAAGGTAGCCCAGGCCTCCCAGCCAGGCAAGGGTTACAAGACCCATCAGCCTGTGCATCCCAGACTGTGTTCATTTGCATACTCTCATATTCTTTCAGCCGGATGCTGTACATTCGCTGAATACCCAAGAAAGGCCCGGAGGTCACAAACCTAGGCTTCATGGGTGACCAGAGCCGTGCATCTGGGAGAAGCAGGAGGATTTAAAAAATTCCCATCAGAAGGATCAGTGGCTAAAAGCACTTCCTGCCAGGACTCCGGATGATCTGAGTTAGAACTCCTGGACCCATGTGGTAGAAGGAGGTGACTGACTCCTGAAGGATGCCCTCTGACCTCCAACTGGGTGCCGTGACATCTGTGTACATGTACATATGCATGTGCACACAAGCACATTTACACACACACACACACACACACACACACACACACACACACACACACTGAATAAATTGCAAAAGGAAAAAGAAATCTGGAACATTATAATACCCACATTATGGTTCTTTTTTTGTTTATTTGTTTGTTTGTTTGATAGAGGGTTTTTATGTGTAGTCCTGGCTGTCCTGGAACTTGCTTTGTAGACCAGGCTGGCCTCAAACTCACAGAGATCTGCCTGCCTCTGCCTCCTGAGTGGTGGGATTAAAGGAGTGTGCAGCCACCTCCACCTGACTCCCATCATTGGTTCTAAGAGCATAACAGGACTGCTACAGCTCTCTCTGCACGGGCCTGAGGGAGCCGGCCGATGCCCACTCTGCACCCAGGTGAATTTGGACTTCTAAGACTATGGGCACCTTCCAATGCTCTTCTCTACAGGAGGCCTGCCAATCATAAGGCATGTTCAGAGGATACAGAGTCACTTACCTGTCACTTGTCCCATAACTGTCCATGGAGAATGACATGGAGATGACACAGATGAGAAGAGGGCACCCTGCGGAGAGATGGAGATGTCACACGGCATGTTCCCATCCGCTTCTGTCCACTGATGCGTGTGTTCACTCATGGCTGGCATATGCCCTGGGGACTATGGCTGAGCACTGGGCACAGAGCACTGTTAGACACAAGGATCTCTCAGGCTAAGCCAGAGGTCACACATGGTCACATTTACACAGCACCTTAGTTTGGTTCTACCTAGGAGCCTGGGGGTCTGTACAAGGTTTTGGGGCAGGGTGGCCCATAGTGACAAGAAGGGACACTAGGCATCCTCTGTTTGGGCCATGAGTCCTAGCTAGGTCAAGTTGACCCACAAGAAGCATGTAGGAGCAGTTGAAGGCATTTTTGTGTATGTTAACAGGGATATGTGTCCTGGACATTCAGTAGGCAGAGGCCCAGGCCTCTGCTGAACACCCCACATGCCACAGGTTGGCTCCCTGTGCTGGTCTGAATAGGAACGGCCCCCACAGACTCATGTGCTTGAATGCTTGGCCTTTAGGGAGTGGCACTATTAGGAAGTATGGCCTTGTTGGAGTAGGCAGGGCCTTGTTGGAGGAAGTGTGTCACTGTGGTCTTAATATGCCAGCTTTGAGGTCTTAATATGCTCAAGCTAGGCCTAGCGGGGCAATCTCCCGCTGCCTGTGGATCAAGATGTAGAGCTCTCAGCTCCTTCTCCCGCACCGTGTCTGCCTGCATGCTGCCATGTCCCGCCATGATCATAATGACTAAACTTCTGAAACTGTAAGCCAGCCCCCGATGAAATGTTTTCCTTTATAAGAAGTGCCGTGGTCATTGTGCCTACTCACAGCAATAAAAGTCTAACTAAGATACTCCTTAAGAGAACATGAGTTAAGAAACCACTCCATAGCTATAGGAAAGTGGACAGTCCAGGGCCAGCCGGACTAGACTATCAAATATACAGTCCCCATACTGCCAGTGTTTGAGCCCACAACTCTCTAGCCAGCCATTCTATTTCACATCTATGGGGCCCAGAGACTGACTCCTTCTTGGCTTTCAGGCTTGTGACCCATGACTGGCTCAATGGGCCATCAATCCCCGTAGCCACAGAAATTGATTGAAAGATGAACATGTGACCTGGATGAACCAATCAGACTCCAGCAGGGACTCAAAGGCAAGACTGCCTTTGATACTGGGAAGAAAGAACTCTCTCCTCATGGGGTTGCAGAGAGGGCAAGGACATTGGTGGGACAGGTGGGGCTTGTGCAGCCACCTTGGTACCATGGGGAGTTACGGAAAGCTCAGGCCACTGCCAGTGAGGATATCAAGAAAGGCAAATTTGTGTTGTGGAAGCCCACGGATCAAGACCCGAATTTGTCACCAAAGACCTATATGAACCATGGCTATATGAACCATTAAATTCCCTTTGTGCCTAAGCCACTTTGAGCTGGATCTGTTTTACAAAACCTCGTCAGGCTTCTGGAGAGGTGATGGAAGCGAGGTCGAAGAACAAACTAGAAAAACATCTAGACCAGTAATTCCCACGGCATTCTGTCTTCCTGCCAAGAAAAAACTCCAGGTCAAACTGCTCTTAAAGCCAGCCAGCCCAGAGAGAGCTGACCGCTCCCTGCACTTTAAAAGTTCAGAGGATTGATATATTATATATATTCAGATGTGAGTCTCCACCAGGAGGAAGTTGCTCAGCGTTCTTTAGCTCAGTTGTGGCGTGGGGTTTCACTCTGGAAACATGGCTGTGCTTCCCCACCTCCCACCCCCAACACACACACACACACACACACACACACACACACACACACACCTGAGCTTTCAGGATGATCCCTCTCAAATTTTGCAAACTTTTCCTGCCACTCGGCATTTCTACAGGCTCAGGATCTGGTACCCTTTGCCACCTCTGCAGGGGGTGGGGGGGTTGGGGGTTGGGGGTGGGGCAAAGAGACCAAAGACCTGGCTCCATAGTCCACCATAGGATCCCTCCAAGGAGAGTGTTCAAGAGGAAGGGGGCTGGAGAAGTAGTTCTCAACCTGGGTGTCACATGACCCTTTCACAGGGGCCACATATCAGATAGCCTGCATATCAGATATTTACATGACGGCTCATAACAGTAGCAGAATTACAGTTATGAAGTAGAAACGAAAATAATTTTGTGGTTGGGGGTCACCACAGCATGAGGAACTGTATAAAGGGTGGCAGCATTAGGAAGGTTGAGAACCACTACAATAGAGGAAACTATTTCTCAGCTTCAACTGGCTTGTGTGAGAGAGAGCAGCCCAGTGTCTCCACCCCACAGCTCTCTAGCGCCCCCTGCAGACGGAGAGCTTCATGCCTCCATTCTCTCTACCAGGATCGCGGTTTGGGGTCTAGCCTCATCTTTTTAAGACGTTTCCCCCACATCTCTTCCTCTGAGGCAAGGACCAGTTTAACCCCAAATAAATACAGGAGACATCAGGGAGTCTCTTAAGGTCAGCACTGGGAAACAACCGGTACGGTGAACCTGAGGCCGCCTCAGCCTCCCCTGCAAGTGCCACTGGGCAAGGAAGACTGCTTCTCTGTGGTGATTGGTGGGAATATTGGCGATGACTCTCTGCTCCCTCCCGGATGCAGCCACAGCCTCAAGCATCAAGAAGTCCCCATCTTGCTCTGGAAGGCACATCTCTTACGTCAAGATCTCATAGTCCACTCGAGATGGCAAGATGGCCTCTAATTCTTTGGATGGTTGAAGTGAGGGCTGGTCCCAGGTCATGACTTTATACTATCACCTGGTGACTGATGAACAGCAAGATGGCGGACAGACTGCTCAGAAGACAGTGCACATTGGAGGGGTGGAAAGCCCAAGGGCTTCATCCACCCATCTTTCTATATATATATATCTGTCTTAATCCCTCTCCCTTTCTTTTTCCTTCCCTCCTTCCTCCTCTTTCTTTTTCTTTCTTTCTTCCTTCCTTTTCTCCTTCTTCTTCTTCTTCTTCTTCTTCTTCTTCTTCTTCTTCTTCTTCTTCTTCTCTCTTTTCCTTCCTTCCTTCCTTCCTTCCTTCCTTCCTTCCTTCCTTCCTTCCTTCCTTTTCTGCTTTGGGAATCTGATTTTGTGTGTGTGTGTGTGCGCGCACGCGTGTTTTTGATCAGAAATTAGGAAGAAAAGTTCACAGACGGACAAACCAGGAGAGTGGACACAGACAAAAGACAACAAAGAAGCCTGAGTTGTGGGATCAAATGACATCTGGCTCCCTTCCTGGGGTCACACCAGACCTCCTGTGCAGCCTCGGGGAGCTGGCTGAACCTCTCTGGGCCTCCGTGACCTCGTGGTTCATGAAATGGAGTCTGAGAAGTGCTCACATGGGGCTGTTGCAAGGGCCACATGAGATGCACAGGAACAGTAAAGCCCTTGGTGTGTGACGCTGATCCCTGTCATAAGCAGCATCCTGGATGACTCAGATTCCTCACCTATTCCCACCAATGTCTCATCCGGAAGCGTCTTCCCCTAAACCCCAGCTAACTTGTGCCACTCTTCTGTGGGCCATCTGGAGTTCTTCTGGCCCTGTCACCATAGACATATTCTCTCTGGGTCGAGATGCACTCCTCTTAGGAACATGGTGACCTTCCAGAAGACCCAGCCTAATGCCAACCCTAGAGTTGGCCTCCTAAGATCCCGGTAAGGGTGACAGACATATTTGGGAACCACTGCTGGGAAGTGCTGGCAAGAACCAACAGAAGACTTGGGCATCCCCCAGGAGATTACTGAGGCCACCTTTCCACATTTCTGTTGTTCCACATGTGGCAAATGTGCAGTCTGCCCCGTGAGGCTCTTGGGACCTTGTTCTGAGCGGCAGGCAGAAGTGGTATGTGCTTCTTACGGGTTCAGTACTGAATTCCCAGCACTGGCTCCAGGTGACGACCTCTCCACTATGGAGTCTGGGTTCTTACCCTCTCACGGGCACTGTTCCGTGGTGGACAGGTCTTACAAACCCAACACTAGTGCTCAGCGTTTGCACTGGCTGGTGTGATGTCAACTTGACACTAACTGGAGTCATCAGAGAAGAGGGAGCCTCAGTTGAGAAAAATGCCTTCATGGGATCCAGCTGTAAGGCGTTTTCTTCATTAGTGATTGAAGAGGGGAAGGCCCAGACCATGGTGGGTGGTGCCATCCCTGGGCTGGTGGGCCTGGGTTTTATTAGAAAGCAGACTGAGCAAGCCACAGGGAGCCAAGCCAGTCAGCAGCATCCTTCCATGGCCTCTGCACCAGCTCCTGCCTCCAGGTTCCTGCCCTGCTTGAATACCTGTCATCACTGTTTCTGATGAGGAACCGTTATACGGGACTGTGAGTGAAATAAACCCTCCCCTCCCCAAGTTGCTTTTTGGTCATGGTGTTTCATCACAGCAATAGTAACCCTAACTAGAATAGCATTTAAACCCAAGCAAAAGCGGGAAGCCGGTTATTAGCGCAGCACGGCCCAGAAGGCCCTGATTAATATCCCACCACCACACAGAGGCCGAGATGGCTTCCTAAATAAAAATGCAGAGGAAGGCAGGCCTGGAATGGACTTCAATGGGGTCTCACCCCAGATGAGGGGGGAGTCACAGAAGACATCAAGTGCCATGGAAAACAATAAACCTCGTGACATCTCTCCGTGCCGAGTCGGTAATCAAATTCCAGTTGGCTGCATCCAAATGCAGGCACCAGCGTCCCTCATCTCCCCAAGGACACAACCTGGTCCCCTCACTTCCACAAACCCCTGTCCCCAGCTCAGGGCATGTCTGCCAACAAACCTGTAGCTGACGCCACACCTCCTCCTCCTCCCCCCCATCTCAGCTCCCAAACAGGAATGGATTTCTAAAGACTTCGATTATGTGCAGGCTGAAGCGCTGCCCATGAGAGATCCAAGGGGAGGAGGCTATGTTTCCCATGGTCTCTGCCTGCCTCGGGGTCTCCTGGGTCAGCTCCAGTTCCTTCTTCATTAAGGGATGGGGGCTAAAAAACCTGCTGCCTACAGACTGCCTGTACTTAGGCTCGAAGCCAACCCTGCCCTGGCAGGATGAAAGACACAGTTCATGGGCTCCTGATGAAATTAATTAAGGGCAGGATGTTGGGAAGATGGATGGGGGCTGCAGGGGTCAGAGCTGCCTGGAGTTCTATTTGTAGAGAGCTTGTATCAGGGCTGCAGACTGAGTTCTGTGAGGACCATATATGTGGACATCAGAAAATGCCAGTCCCTGCCACATTGGGAAGCAGGATATCCTGCCTCCTCATTTTTTCAAAGGGGCTTTGCCATTGTAGGTAATGTCCCTCGGTGTTTTTAATATTGGTGAACAGCTCATTTTTCTCCAAGACTGGCAGATCAAGTAAAATATTCCTCCAGGTTGGATAGAGTGGATTGTCACACACTCACACACCATCATACGCCCACTCACAATCCACTCACACACCCATCACACACCCACTCACCTATCCATCACATATCTACTCACACTCACACACACCCATCACACCCCGCTATTCACACACTCACTCATGATCCACCCACATACCATTGCGTGCATGTGTGTACACACACACACACACACACACACACACACACACGCACGCACGCACACACCACTCTACCAGCCCTGATCATCTGCCTCTCTCTACCAGAGTGACCAATTTCCACAAAGAAACCAGTAAGCTGTAGGGAGGTAGTCATCCATGTCTGTTTCTAGAACTTTCCTAACTGAAGTCAGAAGTCACTGGAAGGAGCCACCCTCCAACCTGGGCAATCAGGTGGACTGAGGGAGCAGGTCACATTTGAACCAGCCTCACTGGTGGGATGGAGAGCAGTGGACACCCAGCCTTGTATCAGACATATCCAAAAGCACCCAGCCTAAGCAGTAAGGCAGAATGGAAACCATGGGGCCAGCGGGTACCAGCTGCATGGCCTGCAGCAGTAGGAGGCAGCTACCCACCCACATCCTCTGTTCTAGTCTCTCCAGGGAATCCCAGGGAAAGTGTCAAGTGTCAACGCCTCCACTTCAGCCTCAAATAAACGACATTTACCAACTCCAAGCGCACACAGTAAACACGGTTAATCTGCTGTTTGCATAATGAGGGCTGAGAAAATTAAACCCATTTGAAGAAAAGGAGAAACAAGCAGCAGCAGGTCTCTGATGCCTGGTCCACATTCCCCAACAATGGCGAATGTGGAGGGTGCCCAGCCTCAGTGCAACACTGGCAGGAAGTGGATCCACCCGCGCTGGCGGGCGGGGGGGGGGGGGGGGGGGGCGGGCGCCTTGGGATGGGCGAGAGTCCATACAGCCAACAAGCCAAGACCGGGACACTACGCAGGCCATGGCTCAGTGAGACGATGGATGATAAAGGATCCAATTTTTGAAACTTTCAAAGTCCCCTGTAAACTTTCCTGAGTGCGCAGCAGATTGAGATAAACGGTCTCAAGGACATCCACAAACATCACTGTAAGAATAGGGAGACCAGCCGGGCGGTGGTGGCGCACACCTTTAATCGGAAGGCAGAGCCAGGCAGATCTCTGTGAGTTCGAGGCCAGCCTGGTCTACAGAGCGAGATCCAGGACAGGCTCCAAAGCTACACAGAGAAACCTTGTCTTCAAAAAAAAAAAAAGGGTAGGGAGGCCAGGGACACTTGAGTGGCTTACTGCTTACTGGCTGGTGACATGAGCAGGGCTCAGCCCTTCCCATACTCCCCAGCCCAGGTCTGCAGGGTATTCGTAGAGGGCAGAGCCAAAATCCCTAACCCTCAGCTCTGCATTGGAAAGCTCCATTCTAAGGAAGCCATTGACACCCACGCTGCTTGACACCCTCCAACCCCAGCCCGAAGTGTGTTTATCCATAGAGATCTGGCAGCTCTCTGTGTCCTACCTCACTGACTCTCAGGGTAGAGAGGAACATTCTGCAGACCAGAGGCCACTGTCCCTTCCCAGAGCCCTATGAAGAACAGCATGACACCAGGTGGCCACTGTCCTCACTCTGTTCCGGCATCTCATACCCTGCTAGGAAATGTCAGGCCAGGACTAGCTTCAAGCAGTCAAGTAACAGAGCAGCGAACCAGCCAGTGGCAGGTAAGCACTGGAGGATGCTCAGAGCCCTGAACGATCTCATCCAAAAACACCAAATACTCGGCCAAGGTTCTAAGCCATACAGGACAGCAGAAAGTGTGGCCCACACAAAAGAAAGGTAGCTGAGAAACTGCCTGGGAGGGGCCAATGTCATTGAAGACGTTGAAAGCACTAACTAAAGCCACCAGCAGAGTGTGACGGCCATGTCTCTTCAGAGTATCAGATAGCAGATGGGATTTTTTTTTTTTTTTTTTTTTTTTTTAAGGAGAAACAAGGATCAAATGGACACTCTGGAACTGAAAAGTATAATCACTGAAATGAAAGCATCCCTGGAGGAGCCAGCAGGGGCCAAGCAGCAGGAGGAAGAGTCTGGGGGACTCAAACACCACACAGACTATGCCACATGACAATCAGAGCAAACAGGAGCCAACAGAGTCCCCAGAGAAACGGAGACACCCTAGGACTTCTGGCAGGTGCTAGAGAGTGCCAGAAAGGAGAGCAGAGCGAAGCAGGTGTCTGAAGACATCATGGCTGCTTCAACAGCTGATAAGGACCAGGAAGAATGCCAGGGAGCGCAGGAGGGAGGCAGCCTGGACACGATTGAGTGCAAAGGCTGAAAGCAAGTGAAACCGCTGAACAGCACAGGAGAAAAGCAGCCCTTCAGCTCCAGGAGCTGTCAGGATAAAGAGCAGACTTCAGGGGAACAGTGGAGATGGAGGTAATGAGGGGCCACTAAGCGACCCAGGGAAAAGAATCTGGGTCCGGCACAACCACCTTGTAAAACGAAGGTGAGACTGATGTGGCTGGATAAATAATCATCCCATCCAAGCATGCGATTAGAAGGCCTGCCTCGACAGCCGCAGAAAGGGAAGAGAGTGCTCCAGGATGAGAACTAGCATCAGAAGGGGAAGAGAGTGCTCCAGGATGAGAACTAGCATCAGAAGGGGAAGAGAGTGCTCCAGGATGAGATCCAGCATCAGAAGGAGAAGAGAGTGCTCCAGGATGAGAACCAGCATCAGAAGCGGAAGAGAGTGCTCCAGGATGAGAACTAGCATCAGAAGGGGAAGAGAGTGCTCCAGGATGAGATCCAGCATCAGAAGGGGAAGAGAGTGCTCCAGGATGAGAACCAGCATCAGAAGGGGAAGAGAGTGCTCCAGGATGAGAACCAGCATCAGAAGGGGAAGAGAGTGCTCCAGGATGAGAACCAGCAGCACCAAAGGCAGTGACATGCACAGACATGCACATCAGTGCAGACACAAAGACACATGAATGCACACCTACAGCAACACAGACACACACACAGACACATACAGAGATACACAAACGCATGGACATGCATAGAAACGCAGACCTACACACACACACACACACACACACACACACACACACACACACACACACACACACACGGCACCGATAAATTACGGAATTATAAGCAACAGTAGAGTTGTGTGCCCTCTTTTTTTTTCCTTCCTCAATTGAGTTAAAAAGCAATAATATCAAATGACATTTATAGAACTGCATTATTAGGCCCATAACAAATAGAAATGTAATAAGCTTCCGAGGCACACCAGAGAGGGAGGATGACAAAGCCGTGTTGGAGCACGGTGACAAAGCCAGATGGCAATTCAGACTCACAGGGACAAACGCAGAGGGCCAGACGTGGTGCGTCCAAGGGCTAATAGGACAAACGCTGCGGATACACGCCCCGTCTCCTTTCTTGGCTTCTTCTAGCAAGGCGAGGTTGATAAAGTAATATTACAGCCTGTGCCCCCTCCCCATGTAGATGTGATATGTGTAGCAATAACCACAGAAAAGAGGAATAAAGTAATAGAACCACTTAAAAGCAGCGTTTCCGTGTTGCGCTGTAATTTAGTAAGAACATAAAATAGATTTTAATATTGCTGAAATGCATACAGTAAGCACGGGGACACAACCACTAAGAAAACAACCCAGAAAATACAGTGGAAAACTCATTAAGAGAATTAAAATGGTGCGCAGGAAAGCACCCACTTAATTCAAAAGGAGCCAAAAGGGGAGACGCAGGAACAGACCAAGTGACGGTCAGCACCTCACTTCAAGTAATGGGTAGAGCAAAGAGAGGAAAGATCTAGGCCAAAACAGAGGACCCGAATGTCACCTTGAGCCAGCTAAGCCTGACACTGATAGAACACACTATCCAACAGCAGAGAGCGCATTCTTCCCAAGATGACGGGACAGTAATCAGCCGTGAGACAAACCTTGATCCCAAGATGATGGAACATTAATAAGACAAACCTTGATATGTTCGAAAGTAGAATCATGCTGACCATTCCCATCTTCACCAATGTCACCCCACAACCCGATCCCCCATCCCATCCCATCTCCACCTGATCCCATCCCATCTCCACCTGATCCCACCCCATCTTCACCTGATCCCACTCCATCTCCACCTGATCCCACCCCATCTCCACTTGATCCCATCCCATCTCCACCTGATCCCATCCCATCTCCACCTGATCCCACCCCATCTCCACCTGATCCCACCCCATCTCTTTATGACCCATCTCATCTCCCCCAAAGCCTGTCCCACACTCACCCACTCTGCCTCATTGCCACTAAGACCCACACCTGGCCCACCTTCTCCCTCCCAACTCATCTTAATTGGTTCAACCCCTACCATCTGCCCCACCCCTACCACATACCCCAGCCTATCCCTGCCATCTGCCCCGCCCCTACCACATACCCCAGCCTATCCCTGCCATCTGCCCCACCCCTACTACATACCCCAGCCAATCCCATAGTAGTAGAGATGCTTGCTGTCCTCTGACCCGAAGACCTTTATCACCATGCTGTAGAGATGCAGTCCCTCCACCAGCATCCAAGCAAAGGCACTCAGAAAGAAGTAGTGCAGGAGAACAGCCAGCACCTGGCACGGGACCTGGGAGCCAAGCAAAGACGCAGGGTGAGGCCACGGACCGCACAATGGCTGTGCTTAGGTTTTTCTTCCCAGTGTCTATTTCCTGGACACCGCTAGTCACATGACCTCACTTTCATCCCGGGGAGCCAAGGCTCAGTTTCTCAGTCCCAAGTTCTTCTACAGCCTCTGACTCTGCCGCTCACTCATGTCCACTCCTAGCACCGGAACTCAAGAAAGGACCCCCAACAAATCCTCTCCCCAATGTCTCCTGAAGAGACACCTAGGTGCAGAGGGAGGCGCAGCTGCGGGGTGAGGATCAGCACCTACTCACCGTGCCAGGCTCCACACGGAAGCTGATGAGCAGCAGAACCTGGGCCACCAGGACAGCAAAGGACAGGTTGGCATGGATGTGGTAACGCTGGTTCCGAATGGTACTGACAGAACTGAAGACAGAGAGGCGAGTGTGAGTCCCAGAGTTCAGCCTTGACATCTGATCCCCATTCTGGTCCCCTACCTTTGAGAAACCATGGGTATCTTTATGGCTTCTACTCCTCCATGCTGTCACTCCCTGCTTGGACCCTCAGCAGCTCCCTATGACTCTTGGCTAGCATCCCAGGTCCTTCCATAGATCCAACCACCCTGCACAGCCTGAGCCCTGCATGACAGTCCAGTGGTTCTTCTAACATCCCTGGGCCATCTTCTGTTTCACACCCTCCACCCTGGGGGAGTCGGGGTGGGGGGACTCATCTGAATTCTGAATTAGAACCTGCAGAATATACACCCCATGACATCATCAACAACATTGAGGGCAGCAGGGAGGGAGAGAGCTACTTGGATACAGGAGGATGGTTGCAGGACCTGCCATCCTTTTCTAGTCATTCCTGGCAAGGCTCTGCCTGTAGGCTTGGATGGCCACCAACAGGGAGAGCTTCCTAGCCTCCCGCCCCAAGATGCTCACCTCTGTACTGTCTCCTTGCACATGGCAGACTGCGCAAGAAAGCATTATTTATTCTTTGGCTTTCTCGGTTATTGATGGGCCCCATCCAAAGGCACTTGTGCATGACTTGGCCTCAAAATCAGACATCATAGCTTGCTGAGGAGCGGAGAGTCAAGGATGCCTGTGCTAACTCTTGCCTGGCTCAGATCCCCCCAGAACTCCTCAAGTGTCGGTGTGGGACTTTCCAGACCTTTCTACTGACCCCACTCCACAGGCCCTGCTATTTCTTTATATCTTCCCTGCACCTCAGATTTTGAAAGTGAATGTCACTGGAGAGCAGTCACATCGTCACATCTGGACCCCACCTAGCACGGCTGGGATATATATACCCCCAGGGTCTTTAAAACCAGAGGTATGACCAGAGTGGCAGGATGCACAGATATTTCCAGTAAGTTGCTAGGCCTCTTGGGGACACAAGGAGAGGGTGACTCACGACAGGACTGCAAAGGTGACCAGCGTGGCAGCCAGACAGAGAACCGACAGAGAGCAGCCAACGTAACTGATGGACGACAGCGCCACCTGGTGTCCACGTGTGAGCTGCAGGAACAGAACAAGGTGTGGGTGGCTGGCCTTGGACCCCATTCCAATGGCGGGGAGGGTGGTGCCGCATGATGCCATAGCGCTGACCCTGTGATGCTGACCACCGAAGCCTGCCTCCTGCCCCAGTCACAGGCAGAGAGATATACCACACTGGACTTCAGGGTTGACGTGACCCATGCTTCAGATTGCTTGGCTTCCTGATTTAGGCTACCTGACCTCTTCTACTACGACACCCCCCCCAGACTCAAGTCCGTTCAGCCATGTCTGAATGGGTGACCTAGGGTGACCAGAGACATATGCCTCCCCTGGCTATGAAATGCAGGAGATAACAGTGATGGGCTTGAAGCGGGGAGGGGGGTGTGTGTCAATGGATTCGCAGACATGAAGGACTCAGGAAGACCACTCACAGCATGTTAGATGAGAGGCTATATTGACTTGCAGAAGGTCAGCTCCCTCTCTGGCCCTCAGTTTAAAAGCATCGCCAGCCCCCAAATTGACAATGTGCTTTTCCTCATTGGCAGATACATGCCAGCCCTTGTTTGGTACCTTCTCTTGAGTCGACACCCATTTGGTCACCTAGATGGACATCTGTTGTGACAGATCATCTTTCATGGCAAAACAAGGCATGTGTAAACAGAATTTGCACCCCCACTAGAGCCCAGCAGCCCAAACCTGAGTGTTCCATCCATTCCCTAGCATCCAGTACCCATCTCTGTTTTGTTGAAGCTGGTTCCTTCCCATCTGTGGCCCTCAGAGATTATGCCCAAGTTCCAATGGATGCTAAGATCCCTCCATGCTGCTCTCTGGCCCTGGACAGAGCCCAGGTACAGCCAGACCTTGAGAGACTCCATGGTTCCCTGGGCAGCTCTAGCTTGGCGACTGTCCCTTATCTTAAGCAGCTCTAGCATTTGCTGACCACAGGCAGGAGCCTTGCTAGGGCTGAGCCTGGGTTGTCATCATTCTGTGTCCCATGGAGATGGATACCCAGTGCAGGTGCAGGTGGGCATGAGCCACCTAAGCTGCTGTGGCAGAATGGAGGTTCCCTGACCTCTCATGGGGTTCATCAGACACGGAGTCTAGGCCCCCTCCAACTTAGGTCACCTCATAAAAGCCAACTAGGGGGTCCAGGGCTCCAACACTTCCTCCTAGGAACCGGGAGTCTCTATCCCATGAACCACCTGGCTTACCGGGAAAACAAGACGTATCTGTCCTTCGCAGTGAACAAAATTCAGGACTTTCATCAAAAGCCAGGAGGCTCCTCAGGGCTGAGGAAGTGGCTAAGATGTCCATCACGACAGGGAACTAACTACCTTCCTGGCTATAGGGCAGAAGCCAGGACCTGGAGTCCTGGTGGGAACTGGAACCACAGCAGGATACAGTCACTCTCCTAAGAAGCACGTGTAGCCCACAGTGATTAAAAACCTATTGGTCTCTTTCCCCATCATCTGCACTGACTGTCGGAAACTAAGACCAGCCTTCAGTGCAAAGCCAGGCGAGGATGGAGGTAGGGAACCCATGGAGCAAAGACCCAGGGCCAGGTGTGACATAGGTTCTCAGGACTGAGTCCTTCATGAACACTAGGAAACAAGGACCCTCTCCCTGGGCTGGCAGGTCCTGACCCCAAAGTGCTGGGGGAAGGAGGAACTGCAGACAAAGGTCCCCCTGTTTTCCAGTTCATCCCAGAAGCATAGCCAGGCAGCTTGAGACAATGGGATGGGTTTTAGCATTAAACTTCTTGGTCTTCGGGTCCATCAAGAGGACTTAGCCCACAGCACTCAAATGGGGATGGGAAGAGGTGTGTGACATCTCACCCTTGTCTGAAATGGCTGGAGAGACAACCACCACTGAAGCATGCCCCCCCCCCACGGAGGTCAGAGTCCTGGGGAGACACGGCAGTGGGCCACATGAATGTGGCTGGGTCTGTATGCACCTAGGCGGAGCAATCAAGATACGCGGATTCGTTTGTAAGAAGGGAGCAATCTTCACCCTTTGTTCAGAGAACAAAGAGGTGCTTGCTGCCGGCTCAGACAGCATGTCGGTGATGATGGGAAAGCCTGCGTTCGTGCTTGCGTGCGGGACCCAGGAGACAGGAGAGAGGGAGAGGGGAGATGTTGGTTTGCTCTCTACCTGGTGTGTATAATCTCTACAGGACCCACAGAGAATTCCTCCACTTCCTCATGCATCTTCCATCTGGTCCTCTATGGGGTGCCCTGTCCATAAGGATGCTGGGACTTAGGCTATGGTGAACTTCAACCTTGGAGCCAGAGCTGCCCACTCTGGCCATCCTCAGCCCTTTGCTCCATTTTGGGCCCTCTAGGATGGAGACTTCCCTCTGCCTCATCTGTCCTGTCCCTGCACCTAGAGCCACCAAGCCTACCCCCTGCCCCTTGGGGGACGAGTCCCATCCTGAAGGCAGCCTCCTCCTGAAATAGGATCCCAGAAGAGGCAGACAGGCCCCCATCTGGAGAGAGCTCCCCCTCCCCCCCAGTTTCAGAGCGGCTGATGCTTAATGAAGATTCTAGGATAACATCGGCACCATCCGTGTCTCTATTTCAACTGCGGCATCCTGGACCTGGCTAGAGGAGCTGATGTCAGGGAGTCAGAGGTGGATCCCAGAGTAAGGAATGAGGGTGGGGCTCCCCAGAGGTTACCCGGCAGCCTTTTATACACTTCGCTTTCATCTCCTCTGTCCCAGGTGCCCTTCTCTCCTTCCCTCCCGGGCTCTCCTAAAAGCAGCTTGCACAGTTACCTCTCCTGTGACTTCCTGGGCTCACTGCCATGGCCCAGGTGGCCCAGGAGCCTCCCCAGAGCCTGAAGGGAAAGATGCCCGACAGGGAGCAGCCAACAGGGAGGCTGCCACGGGGAGAGAGTGAGAAGAGGGGAAACAGGATGGGGGCCAGACACGAACTTGAGGGGGGAGGCAATGGGAGGGGACAGGACAGGGAGCAGAGAAGGTGAGGCAGAGGAGAGTCTGCTCTGAGGCCTCTCTCTAGCCTGCACATAATCTGTGCCCTTCCACGGGTGACATTGGCATCCGGTATCCCCTTCAGTCACTCTCCCTACTTTGTTACCGAGGCAAGGTCTCCTGCTGAAGCCAGAGCCAAATGGGTTAGCCTGGTTAGCCAGCTTGCACCAGGGATTCATCCGTGCCCACTCAGTTTTTCTTTGGGTGGCTAGGGACCTAAACTCTAGTCCCCACTCGCGCGGTAAACGCCTTATTCACTGACCCACTTCCAACGCTGACACTTGAATGTAAGAGGCCACAGTCCCAGAGGGAGTGGCTAGACCTATCCCCGCCCCCTACCCCCTACCCCACCCCCATACTCCTCTCTCTACCCCGGGTGAGCCCTCACAACCAGGACAGCCCTAAGACTCTCATGCTCCAAGCTCATTCTGTGCCAGGCATGGAGTTCAGAGGCTGGGGGCTCAGGGCTGGGTGTCAGGGGATGATGGCAGGTTCCAGAGACTGAACCCTCAGCTGCGTGCTCAGGGTTAGGGACTCGAGGTAGGGTGCTGAGGCTGGGTTCCCTGGCTGGATAGTGCCCACTCCTTCCCCTTCTGATATCTGCCATGGGCCTCCAGAAGCAAGTCCCGCCCCCTCCCCCCACCCCTGCACCCCGCTCTGCTGCAGATGGTCGTGGAACTGAGTCTCAGCAGACCCACACAGCACATGGCGGGGAGGAACCCTGTGTGTCCCAATAGCTGGCACAGTTGACTTATAGAGGGGCTAGCACTGAAGACCCACAGCCCAGGACAGGGACATTTACAGGAGGTTGCCTACGCATACAGCCTGTTTGTGCCCAGTCCTCATACATGCCCCCAACCCCAAAAAGCAACCATGGAGCTCTGGCTATGCCACGTTTCTGGAACCACAAAAGCAGCTCACACAGTGGTTGTACTGGTCCCATCATTCCTTGCTTTCACACCTACACACAGGCCCCCTTCGTGGCTGTAGATGACTGCCACTATCTTGGATCCAGGCTAGAGATGGTGCACTGGCCATGAGTGGAAAGGGGTTCCACGACAGCACCCCCCACACACACACACACACACCACACGCAACACCAGCTTCAGGGCAGCATTGTGTGCCCTGGCTGTGTCCTTTCTTTCCCACCGTGGCCAGATTTAGAAATGCCCCCAAAAAAACCCCTGGCATTGGTTTCAGGACTGGATCCCTCTGAGTCAGCAACCACAAACTCAATGTCCTTGAAGTGCCTGGAGAGACTGCAGGAGACCAGCTGAGGCTCCCACTCAGAGGAGCATGTGGGGCCACTCTGCCCAAAGATCACTCACCCTTCATCTCAGCCCCTCGGAGTGGCCAGGACATCCTCCCCTCCAGACAAGAATGAAAAGTGTTGCCGTCTTCAGCACAAACTGAAGGTGAACAGCTACTGCCCATAGTAGGGGAAAGTGATGGAGATAAAGATGATCTGGACCCATGAACCCTTTCCCTGAAGGGGCTGGGATAATGCCTCCATCCCCTCCAATATCATTTCTGGTCAAATTCAGCTCAGTGTGGCTGGGTCTTCTGCTCTTTAATTAAATTTAACTAATTTTTCCACTCTGTGTGTGTGTGTGTGTGTGTGTGTGTGTGTGTGTGTGTGTGTGTGTGTGTAAGGCATGTGTATGGTGCATGTGCACATGTGTGCTTATATGTGGAGACCTAAGGTTGATTTCAGAAATCTCCATCCCTCTTCCACCTTATTTATTGAGTCAGGGTCTCTCAATCAAACCCAGAGCTCTCCCATAGGCCTAGTCTAGCTTGCTTGCTTGCTCTGGGGATCCCATCTCCACTGTTCAAGGTTGGAATGACAGATGGGCCACCACCCCCATGTAACATTTATGTATGTTTCCGGGAACCGAACTCTCGTCTTCATGCTTCCAAGGCAAGCGTTTTCATCACTAAGCCTCCTCCCTAGCCCCGTTTTACTTTTCTAAAAACCAGACATCGAGACTTTCAGATCAGGTAGCTGAAGCATGAAATTCTGATGCGAGAGCCAAGCCTTCCACATTCAAACTTCATGAACACTTGAATGGCCAAGGTCAGCCTCAGACCACATTCTAGGGTCTCCTGGAACATCATCCTGGGGTCTCCTGAGACATCATCCCATGGTTTCCCAGGGAATCATCTTGGGGTCTCCTGAGATGTCCTGGATTCACCTGCGGCATCATCCTGATGTCTCCCGGGCCATCATCCTAGAGCATGCCTCCTAGCATTGGCCCACCAGTCTACGTCACTACTCAGGCATGCCTCACTGTCTGTCGAGACTGCACAGAAAGGCCACACTCACTCAACGAGGAAGACAGAAGCCTCCAGAAGTGAGCCCCTAGGAAGAAACCAGGAGGGGAGAAGGGTTCGACAGACCACAGAGAGAAAAAGAGATGGGAACACGACGGGGCAGGAGTGCCCAAGCGCAGACTTGAACCACAAATCCAAAGACCATGAGGGGGAAATTGGTGCCCAGGAGGAAGCTGGCTTGGTGTCAAGGACATGAGGTCATTCACACCACCTTTTGAATTCCATAAGTGTGCCCCGGGCTTGGCTTCGCTTGTGAGAGCTGCCTTAATTTCGTTAATGTTCATGAACCGTTCCTTTTAAACGGGGATAATTTTAAACCATTTTCAAATCAACCTTTCCCAGCAATGAATAGATGTGATTTTTCTCCCACGAAGACACCCACAGGCTGTCTAAATTTGGTGTCACCAATACTGACTGGTGACAGATTCATAATATAAATGAGTCTGGATTTCCTCCTTCTTCTTCTTCTGTTGTTTTTCCCTTTTTGACTTTGTAGATTGGACCTCTCTTGGGACAAATGCCAGGCATGAGTAGCCGCTCCCTGGAGAGTACACATCCCTTTGTGTTGCTCCTGGGTAGGCCAAAAAGGGGTATAATATCCCTCCAGCATATGGAGGGCCCAGAGGAGGAAGCTCCCTACCCTGGTGTCATTTGAAATGTCCCCCAGTGGTGTGAAAGCCCCTGTCTCCCTCAGTGAGCCTAGGGGTGCACCTGTACCTTCCCTCTGAGCGGTCTTTGGCAACACTCAGGTTCCCAGCCAGCACGCTGGATGCTCACTTGCTTAACTGCCTACTAAGAAGGTACCTCCAAAGGCAACATCACTGGCCAGGTACCTCCTCTGCTGGCCCTTGATGTGTGCTTGCTGGATGCCATGGACTCATTTCCTGCAACTCTGGAGCATCTTCCCAGGGCAGCTCACAGCTGCCTGCTGATCTCCCCTCCAGGCTTGTGATCTGTGTCCCATGTCCCCTTATGCTCCCTTAACCAATGTAGGTTTCTATGTGAACCACATGTCAGACTTCCCGGCTTGCTCTTCAAAGATGTTAACTGTGTCCAGCCACCTCCCAGATAGGAGATCACTTTGTAGACCATCTAGATCTGCTCCGAGGGTGGCGGCAATAGCTGCTGAGACCTGAGGACCAGGCGGGGTCTACGTGGCACTCACCTGCAGCGGGACCACTTGCATGAGGATGGCGAAGTTGGTGAGATGCGTACAGCGGCACACTGAGTGGGTGAGGTTTCCCTCTGTGAGCGCACAGCCCTGGCTTGACCAGATGCCTTCCCCGGAGCTGAGGGCACAATGAATAGGCATGATCAGTGGGAACAATAGAACCCCTCAGCCCCACAGGCTCAACAGCTCACTAGTTAACCCTGACATCAGGGTGCAAACCATCCTTGGGTATTAAAACTGGGAAGACACTGGGACAGAGAGAGGCCAGAGCCACTGCCTCAGCTTGGTCCACTGAGAAAGCACCTAGACCCCTCCCAGCCTGGGAGGAAATGTGTGTGGCCCAGAGTCCAGCTTGGGAAACAAAATACTCAGGGACTCATGAGTGACCTAAGGAAAAGCATTACAGTTCTTAAACGTGTGTCTGGAGGACAGATACATAAAATGCAAGGTGTATAAATAATATATACATAACTAAAATGCAGTGCATACAAATATGATATAATGTGGTAGATATGAAGCTAAAACTCCTATATAACACTTTAAAAACCTTGAGGCTGGAAATAGGGTGCCGTGGCTAATGTTACTCGCAGTGCGACTATGAAGACCTGCATTTGATTCCCAGCCCCCGTGTAAGAAGCTGGGCATGGTCCTATATTCTCCTGTAACCCCAGTACTGTGGGCAAGTGAAAGCCAGGGGATATCTGGGATTGCCAGTCCAGCCAAAAAGAATGCAAGTTCAAGATTCAAGGAGAGACTCTGACTCAAAGGAATAAGCTGGAGAAGTATCGAGGGCACTCGATGCCCTCTACTGACCATGGCATGGTTGGGCATGTGCAGATACACATACACACACACATACACACACACACACTACACATGTGCACACATTATTGTCACTTTAAATTTTATTTTAAGGATTTTATTTTGTGGGGGGGCTGTGCGCGCGTGCGTGCGTGCGTGTGTGTGTGTGTGTGTGTGTGTGTGTGTGTGTGTGTGTGTGTGTGTTTGGGGACTGGGGATATAGCTGCATGTAAGTACAGGTGTCTGCAAAGGACAGAAGAGGGCATCAGATCTCCTGGAGCTGGAGTTACAGGTGATAATGATGATGAGCTGCCACATGGGTGCTGGGAATTGAACTCAGATCCTCTGAAAACCAGTCTGTGCTCTCTACCTCTGAGCCAGCTCTCCAAGCCCCCAAAAATTTATTTTAAAAGTAATCCTTGGCCAGTGTGTACCGTTACACGCAAAAGTGGCACACAGGACATCGTGATGGTGTGCGGGAGGCAACATCGACCCGGTTTCTGTGAATGCACACATAAATGAATGTGAATTACTAAGGACACTGACAGCCTCGTCACAGTGGCCTCCAAAAACCAGGGAAGGAGGTCAGGGGAGGAGGCTGGGGTCAAATGGAATGTTTGCTTTTCTGTAATGTTCTAGTCTCTAATTGCTGTTGACGCTATGATTTCTCACAGTGACACCCAGGCCAATAGGCGCCTATGCCAGCCGGTTAATCTTTGCAGGGAGTGTGGTGGTTGCTGGCATTGTCCTGTGTGAACTTCTCTGTCCTTTCAAATGCCAAACAGGTGTCTTTGTCCGAAAAGGCAAACCTGTGTCTCAGTTTGAGGCAGGAGCCCCGAGTCTACGGAGCCGAAGGAGCCTGAGGCTCGGGCTGTCTCTCATTTGTAGTCCACTATAGTTCCTCCTTCTACACTGTGGGGGTAGCTGCCTGGAGTGAGGGAACTCGGGACCTCAATCTTGCACCCCTGACAATATCCAAGGACGAGACCACTCAGCTACAGCAGTTTTATGTTCCAAAGAGGCCTGTAGCCCTTGCAATAGTAACCTTGTGGCGCGGGTGAGGGGGGTAGGTGGGGGGAGTGGGGGGGAGTGGGGGGGAGTGGGGGGGAGTGGGGGGGATGGGGGGAGCCCGAGAGTGTGGGAAAGGGGCCGTGGTGTGGGCACCGCACCTGGTAACTGAGATTCAGGGAACAGCAGCTTTCTGGGTGGTTCTCATGATGAATGAGTCACCTCCTGGGGGAGGTCAGAGGCACCCAGCTGAAAGCAAAGCCTGGGCCAGTGGAACCACGTGTAGAGAGACCAGATCCCATCAGTAACTCCAGAATACAAAGGCGTCGTGGGCCCCTCCCCCACCCCACATTTGGATCTCACTTTCCCAGCTGTGTTTGACACAGCTACTTTGTATGCCTACTTAACGCAAGGATGCCACGTTTCCATTTGAGGTGACCCTGAGAATTCACAGGGGTGGACACAGTCAGGATGGTGGACCTGGCCCTCGGCTCTAGCGAAGGGTGTGCAGACAAGCCTTGAAAGTCACGTCCCAAAACTGAACCCTGAAGGTGTGACTCTGCCCTAATCAACCAGGGAAGCTGAGTTGTGAGAGGTGTCACCTCTGTATGGGATGGAAATCCGTTCCCAAGGGAGGTGGTGGGGACGAGCGGGAAGCTTCCCAGTTGTGTGCACATAAATCTGCACAGAAGACAGCTGAGCCATTTCAGATAACATCAAAAATATGCACAGCCTGTGACCTGGGACGTCCACGTCAAGGCAGAAATATGGTCACTCGGGTACATAAATACAATGTGATGTATATAAATACAGTAAAAGAAACAGGTATCGGTAGAGGCAGAACACAAAAGAAAATCGTGTGGAATGGTGCAAGAAATGTCCAACTAAAACACTTCCATATATTTCTTATGAATGCAAGTGTATATGACACATAAATTATTTCAACACACATGCATAAACTCAGGGTAAGATGTAAAAATAAAAGAGGTATTTGTCTTTTTAAAATGATGTTTCACCTTCAAAAATAAAAAGAATAATGTTTTGAAGCCCGGACGTGGTGGTACACGCCTGTAATCTTAACACTTGGGAGGCTGAGACAGGAGGCTTGCTGTGAGCTCAAAGCCAGCCTGGGTTACATCGTAAATTTTAAGCTAGCTTGTAAAGTGAGACCCATCTCAAATGAAAAGGAGGAATGTGAATATATTAGGGGGTGGGGTGGGGGTATAGTTCAGTGGTAGACCATGTGCCTAGCATGAACGATTCTGGGTCCCATCCTCAATCCTACAAAGTAAATAAGTAAATGCATGTATACCTAAATATTAAATATACACCAAGAGAGTCTTTGTATAATTTCTTAGAGTATTAATCTTTTCCAAAAAGTGACCCGCGTCGCCTGGCAGGATGGCTGCTCAGCCATTAAAAGCATTTGCTGTCAAGCCTGAGGACCTGAGTTCGATTGATCTCCGGGACACATAGGGTAGGAGAGAGCTGACTTGAGCTGCAGGCCATCCTCTGGGCATCCCACACACACTCTGGAACACTTGCACCTATGGCCAACTACACATGCACACACAGACAGGAAGTATCTTTAAAATTATAACTGATAAAAAATGCAATCAGGAAAAAGTGGCCCAGAATTCTAAGACCCGTAAAGGTATCTTTCAACAACGAAAGGGAGCTTGTTCTCAGACGAGCAATAACTGAATTTACTTCTGGCAGGCTCGCAATACAAGGAAGGTTAAAGGGACATTATAGCAGACAGAAGTGTGGCTCTGCACAAAGACATAAAAATAGCTACAGATGGGGTCAATGTAGGCGTCTGTGGCATGGCTCTGGTCTTGTCTGGTAACTGCTCTACAAGATAGTTGATCGTCTGGGGCAGAAACGAAAGAACCTGCAAAGATCTCCTAAAGACAGTGCAACCTCACAAGCTATGGGCAGGAGGAACTGCCGATGTATTCATTACATCTTAGAATACCTCTAAAGTGCTAGGACATCCATTGCAGGTAGACACAGGGCATGCAATGTAAATGGTCTGAGCAAGCCTGTGAGAGATGGTCTAAAAGCCCCACTTTTAGTCAAAGAGGAGGAAAGGAAAATGGTGGGTGAAGATATACTAATTGAAAGGGTAGAGGGAAGCCTGGAGAAATCGCTTGGGAATTAAGAGTACTGACTGCTCTTCTAGAGCACCCTAGCACCCACATTGGGAGGCTCACAACCACCTATAACTCCAGCTCCAGGAGATCCAATATCTCCAACTTCTGTGGGAACCTGAGCTCATGTGCACATACCCACAGATGCAGACACACACATATCCCTAATTAAAAATAATAAAAACTTAAATATTTTTTTTTGGTTTTTCGAGACAGGGTTTCTCTGTGTAGCTTTGCGCCTTTCCTGGAACTCGCTCTGTAGACCAGGTTGGCCTCGAACTCACAGAGATCCACCTGCCTCTGCCTCCCGGGTGCTGGGATTAAAGGCGTGCGCCACCACCGCCCGGCTAAAAACTTAATTTTTAAAAGGGCCGCAGAGTTGTGTTTAAATGAGATGGTGCGGACCTCAGAGTAGAGCTTATCTTCCAGGGCAAAGAAGGATGTACCACAGACAAGAGCAATGATCCCAGGCCACCATCACAGTCCACACGCCTCCTCTGAGTTCACTGTTCTGGGTCATCTCTTTCTCAGGTCTGTCCACTCCATCTCTCAGACCGAACCCAGAACCTCATGCATGCTAAGCAAGTGCTCTGTCACTAAGCCGTATCCCCCACCTCCCTTTTCACTTTTTATTTTGAGACAGAGTCTCACTGAGCTGCCGGGGCTAGCCTTGAACTCTCTCTGTAGCCTCAGCAGGCTTTGATCTTGCTGTCTCCCTGTCTTCCTGGCCTGTGACTTTGAGCCCAGCTTCCCACTCTGGGAACTGGTTCCAGGACCCCCTCGTGGAGACTAAACGCTGAAGAAGCTCAAATATTTAAAGTGGCCCAAAGTTTGCATAGAGTCCCCACACACCCTCTTACATTCGTCTCCAGGTGATGCATAATATCAAATGCAATGTGAATGGCATATGGACAATTATATCATGGAAGGAATTATGACAGGCAAGAAGTCCACACATGCTCATTACAGGTGTAATTCCCCGCCCGGGCCTGGACATTTCAGGTTTGTGGTTGGTTGGATATCTACCACAAAATTCATGGGGACTGAGGGCCAAGTGTGATTGGCAGGACAAGTTAACAGAACAGTGGCAAGACCAGAAGACCTGAGCATAACTGCTACTTCGTGTGACCGCGCTGACATTTATGGAACTCCTGCCACAAATGCATCGTTTCCCAGGACCACTAGAGCATGGGTTGTATAAACAACTTAAAACGCATCTTAAAAACCCAGGCTGTAGGAAGTACCTTTTCAGATCATAAAATATTTAATTACAAATCAATAAATAGCGGAAAGGGCTCCAGAGAGTTCCCCCACTGTTCAGAAGTGAAGCAGCTCCCTTCAAAATGAACTAAGGGGCCGGGGAGAGGGCTCAGCGGGTAAAGGCGCTTGCCATCAAGCGGGACGACCTGAGTTCCATCCCTGGGACCCCACATAGTAGGAGAGAACTGACTCCCCAGGGTTGGCCTCTGACCTCCATCCAGATGCATGTCGTGGGGGAGAACATTTGAAGTGGATGGCATTGTCCTAGATCTCGGTCACATGATGGCACAGCTGTGTTCACTTATCAAAACCAAGAGGACTATGCTTTCAAACTGAATTCTCCTGAATACATAATAAGGAATCATTTGCAAAGTGGTCTGGCTGGATGCGTGTGGTGTGGCCGTCTCTGGGAACTGGGGCTGAATAGAATTGCTCTGTGCGTGCATATCATCAATGTCGGTTGATACCATATCTTGGCTATTGTGAGTAATGCTGGGTAAACATTCTCTCTAACTTGCTGACTCCACTTTCTTTGGATGTGCACCAGGGGTGGGTCTCATTTCTTTTCTTGAGGAATCTCCAGACTGATTTCCACAATGGCTGTACTAACTCGAACTCCCCTTTGCTCCACACCCTGGCCAGCATTGCTGTCTGTTGTAGTTAGTTTCAGCTGTCAACTTGACACAACCCAGAAGCATCTGGGAAGAGGGAACCTCAGCTGAAGAACTGCCTCCACAGACTGGCCTGTGGCCACATTTCTGGGGTATTTCCTCACTTGCTAATTGATGTGGGAAGGCCCTTCCCACTGTGGGTGGTGCCATCCCCTAGTCAGGTGGGCATGGGTGGTATAAGAAAGGTAGCTGAGCAAGCCAGGGGGAGTAAGTAGTGTTCCTTCATGGTCTCTGCTTCAGTTCCTACCCTTGGCTGCCCTCCATGATGGACTCTAACATGTAAATCAAATGAACGGTCTCCTCCCCCATGTTGCTTTTGGTCAGAGTTTTATCTCGGCAATAGAATCTAACCAGAATGCTGGCTTTTGGCCTTTTTTTTTTTTTTTTTAAAGTCAAATATATCATTTGGTAACAAGGAGTGAAAAGAAATTCGTGTGCATGCGTGTGTGTAGGTAGGTACACATGTGTGTGTGCAGAGGTCAGAGGTCAGCTTTGGCTGTCATTCCTCGGGTACCATCCACCTTTTATTTTTGACAGTCTCCGACTGGCCTGGAGTTCACCTTTAGGCTGAAGGACAGCCCCAGGCATCCTCCTGTCTCTGACTCCCACCACTAGAACTACAAGCCCATGTCCCCTTGTCTAGCTTTTGACATGGGTTCTGGGGAGTCCGACTCAGATCCCCATGCTTGCACAGCAAATATTTAACCTACTGAGCCATCTCCCCTGCGCCAAAAAAGGAACTCATAAATCTTCTTCTCTCTTCTTGTGGCTGACGGAATTGTGGTGGTCAAAAGGCCAGCGACACAAGAATTCCCTCGCAGGCTTGCTCTTTTGCAGAAATGAGAAGGGGCCAGAGTTGCTCCACTTGCAATTATCCTCCAGACAAGAGTCCCGACTGCTGGGCACCCAGTGTCTCAATGGCTGCTACAATCTCCTTCTTGTGTTATTGGAATCTGTGGGAAGTTTCACTAATGTGTTCAATGCCTGTGTCCCCAGCCGGCTCTCAGGAGCAGCCTGTATTCCAGGGCTGTGAATACGCCCCCCTCAACCCTGGTTCATGCTTCTAGCTTTCCCAGGATTCCCTTGGATTCCACTGACATCTCTCCATGGAAGTTGGCTACAAACACCGACCATTTCCTCCTCTGCTTTATAATTCCTAGAGTCAGCCCTGCTTGTCCCTCGACCCTTTCTCTTTGAAGGTCCCAGAAAATGAGTCCCGCCCCCAGAAGCTCTCTTGGCTTGGATCCTCCCTGCTGCCTTGGGGTGTCAATGAGGTGTTCCCCCCAAGCTGCAGGTGACTGTATTCTTGGATGAAGTGAGCGACGTGTGTTTACAAGGAACTCCTCCACGACTTTCATCTGGTGAATGGCCTCACTAGAGCTTCTGACTTGAGTCTGGGCTCTCAGCAGCCACTCAGGAGCCCGGCTTACCTGGTTCTCCACTGAAGCTCTTTCTGTCCAGCTCAGCTTTCAGGAGTCTCTGTGACTCATTCTTGCTCAGTTTAAGCTCATCCCCACTCTTCTCTCAGCTTCTTGCACTGTGCCCATCACCCCCCCCCCCGAGGTCCCCACCCACAAACCTCATCTTGTTTATAACAGCTGTTCCTACTGCAGTGGAGAACTGCCTCACTGCGATCTCATTTGCATTTCCCTGAGGACTGGGATATTGATTTGGTTTCTTTTCTTTTCTGTATCTGCTGGCCATTTTTATCTCTTCTTTTGGCAAGTGTCGATTTAGGTCTGTCACCCATGACTTAATCAGGGTATGTGGGTCTCTGGCTATTGGGTTATTTGAGTTTCTGGACATTAACCCCGACACTAACCATTGTGGGAGCCCGTTCTCGGGTGCCTCGTGGCTTTACCCAGCAGGTCCGCATAGAGGATGATTAGGACCCACCCACTGGCCTGAGTGCAGGTGTCTGAGATGGTCTGCACTTGGCTGTGCTGGGGGAGGAGGTCTTTTGCTCCACCCCTTGGCGTGTCTATAAATACCCTGGGGCAGAGACAGTCGGGGCCCATTGAAAAGGTTCCAGGCCCTCTCGAGGCTATCCTTTATTTTCTATCTGTTTATCTCTGCAAGATTCTCCGCAATAAATCCTTCCATCTAATATTTCCTGCTGCTTGCACTCAAGAAAACTTTGGGGAACTGTGGGGGTGGTTGGGTAAACGCCCCACAAACCATCAAATAGAGATATTTTTTTATTACATTTATTTATTTATTTGGGGGTAGTGTATGTGTGCATGCTAGAGTACGCATGTGGAGGTCGGGGAGTTGGCTCTCTCCTTCCGCCATGTGAGTTCCGGGGATCAAGGTTAGGGTTATGAGACTTGGCAACAGACACCTTTACCCACTGAGCCATCTCGCTGGCCCCAACACTAAGATTTGGATATGCTAGCTAGTGAATGCTGTTTCCCAAAGCCCTGAGTCCTAGCCCTCCCTTGAGACTCTCATCACAGAAGGCAGTGGGACGGTATTCCCATGTGGCCTCACGGTGCCCCGATGAACTGATTCTAAGGACTATAAAAGACCTTTGAATCCATGCAACCTCCGGTCATACCCAATCAGGTCTTACCCTCATGCATGCTCATACTTGCAAACACGTTGGCTTCATAAACAGGTGATTACAACCCTACCCTGTGTGATGTGAGACCGGCCTGGGGTGGACACCTTGCTGTCTTCCCATCTTCCCCCATGCTCCCCCTTCTGTCCACCTGGTACCCCCCACACTGACGGTACCTGAAGTTAAGGAAGACACAATACAGGAAGAGGCGGTTGCTCTCATTGGTGGCATCGACCAACTGCTTGTGAGTCTGAAATGAAAGGAAACGGATACGTCTGTGACGCGGCAGAAAAGGACAAACGCGCGCCCCGGAGCGGAAACAGGATTTCCTCACAGGGGCGAAGACAATGGCTCCCTGAGTAAAAGCATTTGCCAATGCTGGACCTAATGACTCGAGCTCAATCCCTCCACCCAAATAAAAAACCAGATGTGGCGGTGCACATCTGTAATCCCAGGGCCCCTGTGGTATAAGATAAGTGATGATGATGTCGTGAGGCAGCTAGCCTGGGTGTGGGGCATGGTTCCAAAATAAGAGAAAGCCCTGCTGCCATAAGGGCCTGCAGAAGGCCAGAACTGACTCCCGAAAGATGTCTCTGACCTGCCCACGTGTGCCACGCACACACATGCCTGCATCGATACGCACGAACTTTAAAGTGTGTTCAGTTAATTAATTTATTTAAAAAGATTTTCAAACTTTAAAACGTATGTGCGTAGGTGTGTATATGTATCTGTGTACACACGCATGTGAGTGCAGTGGGCACTGGGTCCCCTGGAGCTAATTCTAGGAGGTTGTGAGCCACCTGAAATGGATGTCGGAAACCGAACTTGGGTCTGCAGCAAGAACAGCACACACTCCAAACTGTGGAGCCATCCCTCCAGCCCCATAATTTTTTTTTTAATTCCCCCCTAAGATCTCTCACATCCTGAACATCCAGGGTGCCCGTCACAAAACTGGAGAAGTCAAATGACCAGCCTGAGCGAATTCGAAACCACGCTCCTCCAGGGCTGCCCCAGATCAGCACCTGCAGACTTCCAGGTCTCTTATCAGTTCATAAACAGCCTGCACGGATGAGTAGGGCAATCAGAATGCTTTTGAGTTTCTGAGTATGAAGAAGGAAGAACTCTATGAAATGCTGTGGGAACCTGGAATTAAAACCACTTGCCTCAGAGTGGAACAGAAAGTTTTTTTTTTTAATACCATCCCTCTGCCCAGGTACCACACAGCTATAAGGCACTCGGGGGAAAGGTCTAACTAACACAAGGAACCCAGAGTACTCCATGCCTGCATCCACACTTGGCATTAAACAGCTTCTGATTACCCAGTGATGGGGATGTAGCGGGAGGCAGAGCATGCACATGAGCCCATGGAGGGTGGATGATGTAACACTGAGCTGGAATTTAGGAAGAACAACCTTGGTAACAGCCGGGCCAGGTGAGGACGCATCTCTACTGGAATAGGAGCCCTGTGTTTGATATCTCCTCTGGACCCAAACTGCACAGAAATGTCTAAGAGGTACATCTCTGTGTCACCCAGGTCATTTGGAAGTATTTAAAGCAAGCAGGTGGCCAAAGGAAGCCAGTCCCAACCCCCCATGCCACAAGAGACATGGGCTCTAGGGAGGTGGTCGGAAGAATGTCTTTCTCCTGGGTGGCTTGTTTCTGTCCCCTTTCCACCTCCAGACACCAGAGCTTAAATCATCCTTCAAAGGAAAAGTACAGCTGGCCGGTGTGCAAAAAAAGCCAAGTGTGTGTGGTCCGTAAGGGAGGGGTAGACTAGCTGTCTTGGGTCTGGGGCCAAGGTCACGGCCTTGACCAGGAATTCCCTGCCCAGCTGGTCCTCGGGCTCTATCCCAGGCTCAACTCTTTGGCTGGGAAAAGCAAGTTGCTCTAAAATAAATTTTTTTTAAAAAAAAAAAGGAAGCCTTGATGTTTTCAGAGAGATTTTAACATATGGGAATGTGGCTATGCCAAAGAAAAGGTGAGTCGCCTCTCACAGCCCACGTTCCACTTGCAGAGGACCGTGGGAGGCCGACAGCTCATCCAAGTCCCAGTTGCCTGGGCTGGAAAGAAAAAAACATTTCCACAGGTCAGCAGGATGCTGGGCATCCAGAAGGGCCTGGCAGGGTCCCTATGAAGGTACAAGCAGAGAACCCGAGGACCATCCCACACAAGCCTGATTGTGTCCCCCACCCCCACCCCAGACACCTGCTGTATGTCCAGAGCCTCAGAGGCTGCAGAACAGCTCCAGCCTATTCCACAGGCTCCCCCCATCTCTGGAGTGAGCTTCCCGATGGGATTAACCAGCCAATTACTCATCACCTGCTGCTTATAGGCAAAGTGTGGGCTTCTGAACATGAAAGGGAAGGAAATATATCTGAGAAGTTCCCTTAACACCCCTTGTTCAGACACGTGTTTGCTTTATGTTTTAGCATGTGGCTTTACCGATAAAGAAATTGGGAGACACTTCTTCATCACTGTCCCCAAGCAGAAGGCAGAGGGCACCATGGTCCTTAATTCTGACCCTCAGCAAGGCAGCATCACAGACCAAAATAGCCACATCCCCAGCATAGGGCCAGACACAGGCAGAGTCTAGCAGAGGACCCACTCCACCCTCACTGCGTTTTTACCTTCCATCGGCATTTCCTAGCAACCCAAGCCCAGCTCTGAATAATAAAGGATCTCATAAGACAGAGGCCTGATGTTCTCTGGTTTTGGAGAAGCTTTGGATAGCCCTTCATAGCCCAAGAAAGCCCTGGCGTGGAAGACTGGTGGGCTCATCTGGGTCAGAGCCAGGAAGGAACAGTTGAGTAGGTTCCTATCCCAGGATCTGAGGCAGGCCAATGGGATGGGCCACCCTGAGGGCAGGAAGGATAAAGACCAAGCCAGGCAACACCCTGTCTGTGCTTTGTACTCAAAGGCTCTGTCTTCCCAAGCCCCCCCCCCCCCCAGGGTCAGAAAGAACCTCGCCAACCTCTGCATAACGCAGAATTCAGGTTTCCGTCTCTTCACGGCCAATGCGGGCCTTTGGGGTCTGAAGACAGACCCATCCCTTCAACATGAACTAAATTCGAAACCACATCCCTCCAGGGCCGCCCCAGATCAGCACCTGCAGACTCCCAGGTCTCTTATCAGCTCATAAATAGCCTGCATGGATGAGTGAGGTAACCAGAGTGCTTTGGAGTTTCCGAGTATGACCAAAGAAGAACCCATGGAATGGCGTGGGGACCAGGAATTCCAGCCACTTGCCTCAGAGTGGAACAGAAGAGTTTTTATACGATCCTTCTACCTAGGAGGTTCAGACACGTGTTTGCTTTATGTTTTAGCATGTGGCTTTACCTAGGTACCACACAGCTACAAGGCACTCAAGGGGAAGGTGTAACACAAGGAACCCAGAGAATAACCCATGCCTGCATCCACACTTAACATAAAACAGCTTCTGGTTACCCGGGGACGGAGATGTAGGGGGACGGCAGAGCAAGCCCAGGAGCCTATGGAGGGTGGTCGAGATGGAGCCAGACGCTAGGCAGGATAACCCTGGTGGCAGCTGGACCAAGTGAGGGCGTGTCTCTAATGGACCAGGACCCCTGTCCTTCAAGTCCATGAACTCTTCTCTGGACCCAAACTAACCTTCCACCATCCTGAATAGACCAGACCTGTAGTCTGGTCTGGGACACAGGGAGGGGTCCTGCCACTGGTAGAGACATCTGCCCATGCCTCCGGTGACAGGTAGCATCCTCTACAGCGGCCAGCTCCATCTCCCTCAGGCCTACTCCCTTCTTATCTACCCTTCCCACTTTACAATGGGCCCTACCTACTTTCATACTGACCATGCCCCTTCTTAGCTGATCTACGGGGGTGTGGCCTGAAGAAGACGGGTCTATGCGGGGGGCTTCCTGTGGTCACACACACTCTCCCATCCGGCCTAACCCAGCTGCCACATGGCCCCCTGGGTCCAGCGGCTCAGGAGGCTGCCCGCTGGCCTCCCACAGCCACTCCTGCTCTTGCCCCCCCCAACCCCCATCCTCCCACCTCCAACCTTGTCCTTCTCACAGCACAAATCCAGTCCCATCACACACTTAAGCCCCTCGTGGGAAAGACGGAACGCAGACACCTGAGGGATGGAGGCCACCCTCCCTTCATGGCACCGCCTTCTGCTTTAGCTGAGCCTACCCTGTCCACCTGTCCCACCTACCTACCTGTCCTCCCATCCATCCACCTTCCCTACCTGCCTATCTGCCCACCGTTCTCCCGTGCGTCTACCTACTACCTCCCCGTCACCAATCCCTCCCGCCCCATCTACCCACCTCCTACCACCCCCACCTGACCATTCACCCACGTATCCACCCACCTCTCCTCCACTCACTCACTTATTCACTCATCCACCTACCCACCCCACGAATCCACCCTTCCATCACCTTATTCCCCCATCCCCCCACATACCCCTCACTTGCCCATCCACGCTGCCCATCATCCACGCTGCCCATCCATAGACACATCTCCCAAGCTTGCCCACCTTGCTGCAGCTGCCTGGGAGGCCTGACCTTCCTGATGCTCCTGCAGAACTCACCCTAATCGAAGCCCCAGGCTCCTCCGGGGGTGCCGTCCACTGTCACGTTTTTCTTCCCTCTTCTCTGCACACTCTTGTGTCTGATAAACCCCACCCTTTCCCAAGGTGTCAGAGCCCCAGAGTAGGCCCCACCCTCAACACCACCCCATTCCACACAGTGCCCCTTACCAGATAGGTAAGTTGTATACACAGGGACTCGTGAGAACTGAACAGTAACCCCGCTCTCTGTGGGCTCCCATGGGAACCCCAGTCACACCTTGTGATCTGTCCCTAACACAGCTACAGAACTGTAGAAGGATGGGAAGGTGACTTGGGTATAGATTAGGAGAGTGGATAGAGGAGAGGACCCCAGAAGGTCATCTGTCTTCTCAGATGACTCCGGCTATCCGTAGTGACATCTGATCAGTATTCATTTCCCAATTCTTGCTAACAGAACCAGTTTTGCTCAGGATGACAGTGTGGCTCTGAGTCTGACTATCTAGCACTTGCAACCTCATCCTATATTGCTGGGGGGCAGAGGGACAGTCTTCCCCAACTCACCAACAAACGCTCACACTCACTCATGTACTCATACTATGTTCACACCTGGCCTTGCTGGTACGTCTGGACACTCTGGCCTGCTCCTTCCTCCTCTCAGACACCAGCCTGGTCTCCTAAGGGATGGAGCCAAGTGTAAGTCAGAC